GGGCACTCGTCAGGCAAGTGCGGACGTGGCCGATGACTATTTTGCAAATCTAAGCACGACGAGAAACACGCACACGACTATCATCACGAGAGTGCACTCTTGCACGCGCCACAGAGAGACGACCACACCCACCCGCACAGAGAGATATTAGAGAGACAGAGAGAGAGGGAGAGAGAGAAAGAGAGAGAGAGAGAGAGAGAGAGAGAGAGAGAGAGAGAGAGACAGAGAGACAGAGAGAGAGAGAGAGAGACAGAGAGATTGAGAGACACCTCCACAGGGTTGCCTTCAAAGACACCACGCGCTGTCCTCTATTTTTCTATTTCGCTGTCTCTCTGTCTTTTTTTCTGTCTTTCTGTCTCTTTTTTCTCCGTGTCTCTCTTTTCTCTGTCTCTTTTTCTCTCTCCTTTTTCTCGCGTTCTCTTTCTGTCTCCCCTACGCACTTGGTTACACTCTACGTCCATCTCGAAGGGATTCTTCAGCACCAGGAACGCCGAGAACGTCAGTACAATAAGCCAAATAAAGACCCATAAACATCTAAACAAAACCGCATTCCGAAAGCAGCAGCAGCATGCAACAGCATGCAACGTTGGCTGCAAATAGCCTTCACCCCTCCTCCTCCCTCCCTCCCTCCCTCCCCAAAAGCCACACTCGCAAAATCCCCACCTGTCTTCGGAAAGCCTCTTCTTCCCTCTCCCAAACTCCCTCGCTTTTCTCCCGCCCCTACTCTTCCTTCTTCCCTCTTCTCCCCTCTCTCCCCTCTTCCTCTTTTCCCCCCGCTCCATGCACTGTCTGTGCCTGTCAGTTTCTCACCGAATTGCTCTTTTGAGAGGTTCCTTTGACCGCAGCACGATGGTGCGCATGCAGAGGAACACGGTCGCGCCGGCTAGCGAGGCAGCGAGCGGTGCGACTAGCCAAGAAATCACGATATATCCGATTTGCTGCCACTTAATGGCATGCACATTTCCCGAGGCTAGACCGAACCCCAGTAACGCTCCAACGATAGAGTGTGTCGTAGAAACGGGCAGCCCAAAGCGATTCGCCAAATACAGCCACAAGCCTGCACCTAGGAGCGAGCAAAGCATTCCCAGCATGAGAACGGAAGGGTGCTCTTCGAATGCGGAGAAGTCTGAAGCCACATGACGGATAGCAGAGCGCAGACAGACGCACATTGCCGCGAAGGAGAGAAGCTGTCTGGCGCAGCCTGCGATCTTCAGAGACAGGAAGCAGCAGCAGCAGGAGGCAAGTGGAGGGGATCGCCGGAAAGCCGGCTAGCTAGCTGGCTGGCTGGCTGGCTAGCTGCTGAGTAGCGTTCCCCGGAGGAGGCCTTTGGTCGCGGCTTCGCAGCGCGATGCGCGCGGCGCGGAGGATCCTCCTTTCTTGGCGGCGCATTCTGTCGGTGAGGGAGCGTTTGGGAGAAGGCTTTTGTGCGGCGCACCAATAATCTTCGACCTGATAGAGTCTGTAACTGCAGCTCCAAGAAGAGTTGCTCCCAGCGTCTCGAGCGCAGCTGCCATGGCGATGGCTGTGGAGAGGGGTATGGCTTTGGAGCCGACAGAGCTGCTGAACGTGTTGGCAACATCGTTGGCGCCGATCGCGAAGGCAGTGAGGAAGCAGACGATGCCTCCCACGACGACGATCCAGAGGAAGTCTTGAGGAGCTCCTGACATGCCCTGCAGCAGCTCTGGCCTCAACGCCATGGTGCGAAACTCCCTGAGAGACTTGCAGAACGAGCAGCAGGAGGGTTGCACAGTCGGCTAGGAAGGAGAGCAGGCAAGTCGAGGGGCATGCGCGGCTTGAAGTACCCGAACGTGAGGGTCGCTTTCCACTACCACGCCATTGCTCTTGAGGAGACGGTGAAAGGACTGTACACTGGAGTAGACGGGGCTGTCGCGTGGCAGGCTTGCGTCTGTTGGTAACGAGGCGTCGGCGTCTTGGCGCGCGAGTCTCCTTGAGGCCAAGGTTCCCTTTCCGAAGAGCGAAAACCCCTGCTCCACTCCCAGGCGAGCGCAGCTGTGGCGCTCTCTCTCCTGCCGCAGAAGAAGAGTCGGAGAGGCAAGGCAGGGAGGAGGGGGGTGGGGAGGGAGGCCTCTCCACCCTCTAACAGGGAACGCCGCGCGCGGAGACAGGACCCATTAAACCCGAGGGAGACACTGAGAGATGCGACCTACAAGGCTAGAGGGAGAGAGCGCGCGGAAGGAGAGAGAGAGAAAGGAGGGAGCGAGTGACCAAAGAGAGAAAAAAGAGCGAGGCAAACCTTCCACAGACACCCGCCAAAGCCAAACGAGCATGTGTAGGAGGGAGAAGGCGAGCAAGAAAAGAAGCAGTGACGCGCCAGTGACTTCGGGGCTTTTTGCGAGAAGGCATCAACCACCCCGAAAGTAGGAGCAGGATGATGCGGGGAACCTTTAACTCGGGAGGCTTCGGCGCTTCGACAGCCGACCTTCTAGCCCATTTAGGCCGTGATAATTCCAGCAATGCCCTTTACAGCCGCTGCTGCTGCCAAAAATCATCGCCGCAGTCAAGCGCCGCGCCTTGCGCTGTACATACACTGCAGCAGCGCCCCACGATACGAGCTGCTGCAGTCGGCGGGGCGGGAGGCAGAGGAGGCACACTAACGGGCTGCCGTCGGCGACTAAGGACCTTCTGCTTCGATTTGCAGCTCTCTTTTCGCTCGTTTGGACGCAAAACACAGTCTTCTTCAATGTTTTCCCGCTTGTTTTCCAAAAATCAACGCTTTGACTGCCAGCGGCCTCCCCCCTCAAAGACCCCCTTGCCATCGCCTTCTTCCCGTCCTTCTGGCCCCGCCTGCTGCGCAGCGTCCTTCGTTGAACGGGCGAGGAGGAAGCTCGGAATTTTGTTGAAGAACTGCGCCTCAACGAAGCCAGACGCGCGGCTTCTGCCTGCAGCACATCTTCGCCTGTCTGCACGCCTCGGTTTTTTTGCGACGCTGGACATGTTCTGCCCAGCGACGCGGGGGGAGGCTCACTCAAGGGCGGAAGGGGGGAAGTTCATTGCTCATTAACGGCGACAGACCAAGACAGGGCACATGCCGAAAAATCGAACGCGCGTCAAAGGCCTGAGCCTAGAGGCCTTCGTAAAGGCAGCCTTGGGAGCCCCCGCGAAGGGGGATTTCTAGAGGCTCCTTAAAGCAAGCGACAACACGGCACTCTGGAGGCAGCGGCCTTTCTGTGCCAGCACACGCGTAGAAACACACGACCCTAGTTGAGGCAGGCTAGGCCTGTCGTGAGACCGTGAAGAAGGCAGTCCTTACTCGCGCAAAAAAGGGGCGACGCACCAACCACTGCCACCCCTAACACTTTCCTCCTCCCCCCGAGTTGTTAATATTCCCCCTCTCCCCTTCCCTCCCTTACGGTTCTTTCGCAGCCTCAGAATAAGTCGCAAACCTAGAGTCCGCTTAGCTTCAAAGGCCCTCGGCAAGAGGCGCACGTAGAACAAGGCCTCGCGCCTCTAAGGCCCCACGTAGAACAAGGCCTCGCGCCTCTAAGGCCCCACGAAGAACAAGGCCTCGCGCCTCTAAGGCCCCACGAAGAACAAGGCCTCGCGCCTCTAAGGCCCCACGTAGAACAAGGCCTCGCGCCTCTAAGGCCCCACGTAGAACAAGGCCTTGAGCCTCTAAGGCCCCACGTAGAACAAGGCCTCGCGCCTCTAAGGCCCCACGTAGAACAAGGCCTCGCGCCTCTAAGGCCCCACGTAGAACAAGGCCTTGAGCCTCTAAGGCCCCACGTAGAACAAGGCCTCGCGCCTCTAAGGCCCCACGTAGAACAAGGCCTTGAGCCTCTAAGGCCGCACAAGGTCTGTGGCGTCAGGAGTCGATGCGCCGAAGAGCTTGCGCGCATTTTTCTTTACGGGGCTTCGAGAAGAACCCGTCGATGCATGCCTCTGTATCTGAAAAAGTAGGTGTGCTTGCTGCACACGCGCATGCATTGTACATAAAGAGCCGCTCCTGGAGCGGGGGTTGGGGGGCGGTCAGTCCCTTCTAAAAACGTGGACGCCTCATGCATGCACATAGTGCAAGGTCAAAAGCTGCGGGCTCCCATGCCCGCCTCCCTAGGAACGATATGCCTTGTTTGTCAATCGCAAACGCTGCTACGCCAAATAATATGCGGCGCTGCTGCTTCTACTCGAGACTGAAGGCCTCTTGCCCCTCTTCTCTATCCCCATAAAACAACTGGCTGACGCAGCGACAACCGACATACGTATCAGTATTTCTTTTGCAGCAGCCTCGCTCACTACGGCGCAGCCGCTGAAAGTAAGAAGACAGAAGGCGCAGAGTCGAAGAAACTCTCCGAGCTCCCTCTCAGCAGCATGCGCGTCCACTTTTCTCCCCTGCCACCGTCTCTCGCCCTCCCCATTTCGTGTGCCCCTCGCCGTCGCTGCCACACGAAATGTGCAACTAGGGGTGTTCAAAAGTACTGAGCACGGTGCAGACACAACGCAGCCAGTATGACACCCGCCAAGGACCTCCAGAAATCGGAAAAGAGGCAGAAAGGCACGAAGGAATGAAAGCCTGTGCGCCTCACAGCTGCCCCATTTCCCATGTTCAAATTCGCAGATCTACCTGCCTGCAGAGCCGTTCCAGCGTCTGTCGCGCTGGATTAAACACCTCTTCTTGGAGCACTACGAGGAGGCGACACCTCCCACCGTGTCTGCTGCCCTCTTTATGGCCTCTGCGAAGTAGCCTGCTGTTTGACACTCTGCGCAATCCCTGGACCCTTACGGCGTTGCTCCTTCGAGAGCTCCCTGTACAGCGCAGTAAACGACAGACACAAACGTGTGCGCACGGCGTCTGTCCCTAGAAAGCAGACTCCCTTTCCCCAACCCACGTTAGAAATACCCTCGCTCTTGTATTTTTTCCCCCTAAAAACCATTCCCTCGAGACTCTCTCGAAAGGCCCTGCCGACCGCCGCAACAAAAGAGCTGCAAAAAGAACGCTGCCCAGCTGTACGGACAGCAGGGCAAGAAGGAAAAGCAGACGCACTCGAGACGCTGCTGCAAAAGCTGCAGACGGCGCGCGGGGAAGGCGTCGAGTCTCTGAAAGCTGCGAGCAGCATGCGGCAGCGACACAACACTAAAGGCCTCATACTGCAAGAAAGATGAAAGGCAGGCGGCCTAAGTGGAGGATGGCAGTTCGCCGTTTCCCTCCAACAGAGGCTTACAGCCCTCAACCCTGCTGATCGTTCGAGAAGAACTGCGAAACATGCAGTGGCGATGAAAAGAGGATTCCACAAAAGCGCAGAGACACCGACGTCAAGCGCATCAACGCCAACTGCAAAGTAGCAACAGCAGCAGCTGGTGCTGTTGCCAACTTGCGGTTGAGAGAGAGATAGATAGATAGTTAGAGAGAGAGAGAGGCGCTCTCTGGCCTCCCTGAATGCGGCGTTTTCTGCATTCGACAGCAGCCTTCACCCCAGTGTGTTGTGCTGTCTCAAGGCTTTGAAGTACACCTGCAGCGACTCCTGATGAGAGCGGGAAGCACCAGCTGACACGCAGAAGACTGCTCACCGAACATCAGCCTTCAGCTTTTCCAGAAGCGGCGTCAACTGCTCGTCTGAGAAGGGGCCGCTCTGCTGCTTGACTCCTTTCGCAATATCGCTGTAGAAACGCGAAACATCGGGATGCTGCCGCAAAAACAGCAGGAAGGCGTCTGCTAGCTCGGACAGCTGTGCAGCAGCACCCCACAGCACAAGCAACAGCGGATATGCAAATGGAATTCGCCATCATGAGTAGGTTTCCTACCAGCATGGCAAAGGCGGCGCAGGCAGGCGAAGCATGCGGCGGCAGACAGAGAAGCGCGAAAAAAAGAGAGACAGAGAGAGAGGCAGATAGAAAGAGAGAGAGAAAGGTGCTCAGTGCATTCGAGAAGACGAAACACAAATGTCGAACAACAGGGAAGTAGAGCAGCGATGCCTCCGTGTTGTTTGGCAGTAATGAAGGGAAGCAGCATGTGCGTGGCGCATAGTAGCGCATGCAGCAGAGGAAGGCTGCAGATTTTCGAGGTAGCCAAGCAAAGGCAGGCAGGTGCATGCGCGCGGAGAGAAAGACGGAGAAGAAGAAATGTAATTTTAAAAGAGAGCAGCACACGGGCCACGGAAGATCACGCTGCGGTAACATGCAAAAAATTCATCGAAATTTTGCACACACACACGGGGTGTACAGACACTGCGCAGGAGGCCCCGAGACGCGGCAGTCCATGTGCAGAGCAGGAGAAGGAGGATGCGAGAGAGAGACATTGGAAAAAAAGCACAAGGAATAAAGACACAGTTTCTTCTCCTCGTATGAAAAGCACTCTACGTCTAAGACTAGACTACCCTATACGCCAGCTGCGCAGCGCAAAAGGCTTTGAACTACGCAGGCAGAAAACACAAGCGACGAAAGGCGGACTCGTTGCTCTCTCCATGCCTCGTGCCGTGGCCTTAACTCCTCCTCCGGAATGCCTTGGAAAAGCTTTTTAGCGGTTTGCAGCTTCTCGAGCACCTGAGCAGCCAACGCGTTCGGCGCATGCAAAGGCAGCACCTGCGATGGATGCGACGCTCGAGGAAGGCGAAATTTTGCGGACCCTTAACACCCCTCTGGCTTCAGCAATGCCTTCTAAAGAGGCGAGATATGGAAAAATAAACACATGAGGACGGCGGCCCCCTCATGCTGCAGTGCCTTCTTCGCTAAAAAGCCGCCTTCGAACGGCCGCAAGAAGCCCCTTCCTTAGAAGGCGGGCTTCTCCCTGCTGTACATACACTGCGAAAGATGCTGCGGGATAAAATGCCTTTCGGTGCTTGGAAAGACGCACTGGCCTATGTAAATGGGGCAGGTTGACTTTCTCGCTGCCCTTCTCTCTCCTCCCTACTCCCACCTACAGCCCGTCCCCAAGGCCTCACTATATGTGAGTATATATATATATATATATATATATGCGTGTGTGTGGATGTATGGATGTGAGTGTACATGTATGTGTGTATGCATGTGTATGTATATGTGAGTGTATGTTGATGTGTGTGTATGCAGGTGTATGTATATGTGTGTGTATGTATGTGAGTGTATATACGTATGTGTGTTTGTATATGTATGTGTGTTTGTATATGTATGCGAGTGTATATGTATGTATATGTGTTTGTATATGTGAGTGTATTTATGAATGTGTGCATATATATGTGAGTGTACACATGTGTGTGTATATGTATGTGTGTGTATACATATGTGTGTATATGTATGTGTGTGTATACATATGTGTGTGTATTTATGTGTGTGTATATATGTATGTGTATGCATATGTATATGTATATATATATATATGAGTGTGTATGCATATGTATATGTATATATATATATATATATATATATATGAGTGTGTATGCGTGTATCCATATGTGTATATACGTGGACACACGTATATACACATGCGTGCATGGATGTAGATGTACAATATATGTGCAAATCTATAAATATATATAGGCCTGCCTCCCTCCCTTTACCACTTTTAGCAGAGACTGGCCTTTCTTGCACGAGTCTCCTCTCTGCCTGGAGGTCGCCTTGCGATACGGGGGCTGTGGCTGCAAAACACTTACCCCTGCGAAAGGCAGCGCAAGATCTTCGTTCGGAAGCGCTGTAAGGCGGGATGCAAAGAGCGATACTCTTGAAGTGCAGAACTCCCTGAAAGTAGAGCAGACAAATCAAGAAGAACGACGCGACGCCTTTCGTGAGTGCCTCAATCGACCTCAGAGATGCCGATTTTTGTCATCTGGAGGCGGCCTGCATGCCTGCGCTATTACGTTTCTTGTAGAGCATTGATGCATGCATGTGTGCGTGCACTTAAATCGCCATTAACATTTGAAGCGGCACCGCTTCAAATGTAAATATCCTGAAGCGGCCTGCAGGGGTATCGCGCGCGACTCCCCAGAAACAGCCAGCTCCCCCCCTACGTCTGTGAGAATCGTGCGTCAAAGTACTGCAACAAGGGGTAAGGAAGGCAGGAGGAAAGAAAAAAAGGGGACGGAGACGTCGAGAGGCAGCATGCAACACGTGCACATGCATGCAGAACTCATGATTCCCAAGCGAGCGGCGAGCAGAGAGATGCAGGCAGAATACTCTCGACAGCAGGGGGGAGGAAAGCAGCGGTACAGACAGGACCTAACAAAGGCTTTGTAAAGCTCCTTCTTTTCAGATTCCGTTAGACTGTTTGTGCCGAAGCGCGCATCGGACTGCAGCAGCTCTAGAGGCCATTCGCTACCGTCAGAGCTGCACATGCGCATCCACAAGGCAGGAGGAGACAGAAACTGGCGTCTGCGCAGCCTCCAAAGAGGCTAAAAGACGCGCACACTGGCAGCGAAAGACTCAGGAAAGGCGAAACTCCCCAACAAGGCCAGCCCTAGGCACCTCTGCCATAGAGGCGAGCTTCCCCTCCGACAGCGGAGACGGAAAAAACGCACATTATAGGAGTGCATGCACATAAAAATGGGCATGCGGATGTATCTAGATGTGTATGCACATAAAAATGTGCATGCGGATATATATACATATATATAGATGTGTATGCGCATAAAAATGTGCATGCGGATATATACATATATATAGATGTGTATGCGCATAAAAATGTGCATGCGGATATATATATATATAGATGAGTATGCGCATAAAAATGTGCATGCGGATATATATGCATATATATACATGTATAGGTGTGTGCGACACCCCTCTACGCTTCTGGTGACTACTGCATGCGAAAGCGTGGAGTGCTGTGGAAGGGGCATGCCGAGAAGGAAGTGTGCAAAGCAGAGGGAGCAGGAAGGAGGCTGGACGCCTCTAGAAAGCAGCTCCTTCTGAAGGAGCAGTGCCTGCTGGTGTCGCTTAGAGAGGTGCATCAGCACAGCAGGGAACTGCAAAGGCCTCCTTTAAAAGCGCAAGAAGAACTGAAGCAGCACAGGGGATAGCACTGGCTCTGCGCGAGGCAAGACGATCTGCGCTAGGAAGCAGAAATGGTTCTCAGCACGCTTTGAGCGATACACACAAGCCCTCGTAGGCCTTGCAAGCCTAAGGCTGCCTTTTCCCTTTTGACATCCGCCGCATGCGCTTAATATAAGCAACGTAGGAGGTGACCAACTCATGCTTCTCTCGGCGAGAAAAGAGAAATCTATGCACAGACCTGTCGGCATATGGATTCTTGACGCGCTCGACCAGCATGTTCCTGCGGAGAGAAAGTGGAAAAAACACCCCACGAAGCGCTTGCAATGTCGCACTAGAAACCTCCACGCCTGCAGCATGTATGTGGCGGACGGCAAAAAAAAGCCCCTCTTTCTCTTTCTTCTCCCCTCTTCCCACCACAGACACGCGTCTGTGAGCAGCCAGGCGTCGTGCTCCTTCGACCTCACGTGAAGGCTGTAGCGGCATCTGCCTTCAGAAGCTTGAGCTTTTTTGTTTCAGCGTCATCCAGAATAGAGGAGGCCCCTGCTACTCGCTTTCTCTCCAAGCGAGCAGCCGTCAAGTCTTCGCATGCCTCCTGATACAGCTGCTCTCTCTCCCGTGCAGAGGCCTAAGACGCACACGCCGAGCAGCAAACACACAGGCAGCTGCACTTGAAGATCAGCGATTATCTATGAATATGCATACAAACAGAAACATAAACATATGCATATACATATACGCATATATAAGTACATCTGCATGCAAAGAGCCGCACAAAAAGCAGGCAGTCTTAATGAGTAGCGCCAGACATCGAAACTACGCGACTAGGCAGGTTGTACAGCAGCCTGAAGGACGGAAGAATGCATCGACTCGTAAGAAAAAGCCCTCCCTTCTCCTCTCCCCCTCACTCAACGCTGTCGTGAACCTGTGTGAGCGAGAGCCTCCTTTCTGCGCATGGGTGTGTGGTGCTCTTGCTTGCTTCGAGCGCCGCAAAAGCCTTGCAACTGACCACTTGCGTATATAGGGGGTGAGATCGAAACTCCCTTCGACGCAAGGGCCAGTCCTCAGAAGGAAATGCCTGCAGCTGCTCCCTGAAACGCATGCAGACACCGCATCTCATCAACTCTCTCTCGCCACGTCTGCACGGCACTCCCTGCAAAAGCGCTGAACGCCATTCCTCTTCCTCAGTCATACCTCGCTGCTCCTACAACACCCTGCCAGCACCAAGCAGCTTCAGACTCTCCGCAGAAATACTGCCGAGGGCCCCATGCAAAACCCCTGTGCACTACATGCATGGAAGCCACTTTACATTGCCGCCTCAAAAAGCGCGGCAGGCAAGCAATCTACTGACAGCCCATAGGCTCATACATACATATATATACATTTACATCCATACATACATATATATACATTTACATCCATACATACATACATATATACATATACTTTTACATCCATACATATATATATATATACATTTACGTCCATACACATACATTTACATCCATACATGTATATATATACATTTACATCCATACATATATGTATACATACATATATATGTATACACACATATATCGACACATATATCTATGTACATACAGAACAAAGGGCCCTCAAATTGCATGAACGGGGACGACTCGTGCAAATCTCTGTGGATCACGGACTTGACGAATTTCTTGAACTGGCGGCGCAAAGCATCACGCGCTTCATTCTTGTCTTCCCGTCTTCTTGCAACCATTTCCTCAATGAGTCGCTTCCGGATCGCTGCCCACTCCCCCCGGGGGATTGCGCCTCCCTGCCAGCGCTCGTCGTGTCCAAACCTGCAAAATATCCGCAATTGAATTGATAGCATAGCAGGCAGCTCAGAGAAAAACGCATCATGCGAACGCACATATTCACATACACATAAACATCTACATAGATGCATACAGTGAGAGACATTCTCTGGATGCCTAGAGGCTGCAGCTTTAAAAAAACAGCTTAAAGTTTCTTTGCCCACTGCTCTCTTCTAACAGCGGACCCTAAAGTTGCATCATGTCCGCATATTTTTGCTCGTGCAGCCAAATGTGCATTTAGCCCTCCTATATCTTCCAGCAGCCTTACTCTCCTTTCCCTATCACTCTCCACTTGCCCTCTCTCATTCTGCCCCTATCTCCCTCTCTCATTCTGCCCCTATCTCCCTCCCTCATTCTGCACCTATCTCCCTCCCTCATTCTGCCCCTCTCTCCCTCTCTCATTCTGCACCTATCTCCCTCCCTCATTCTGCCCCTATCTCCCTCTCTCATTCTGCCCCTATCTCCTTCTCTCATTCTGCACCTATCTCCCTCCCTCATTCTGCCCCTATCTCCTTCTCTCATTCTGCCCCTATCTCCCTCCCTCATTCTGCCCCTATATCCCTCCCTCACTCTGCCCCTATCTCCCTCTCTGATTCTGCCCCTCTCTCCCTCTCTCATTCTGCCTCTCAACCCTCTTACCACTCCCCCAATTGCAGCGCATGCGTGCAGCTAAAAACAATTTCCACGCTGTCGTAGAAGACCCCCCTCCCTTTGACGTTCACCTCCTTTCTAGGGTGTCTACGGTAGACGAAGAATGCACATGGCCTTGAGCCTTAGCCTCATCGAGCAGCGCTCTGAAGGCGTCGATATGCTGCAGCGCACCAACGGCAGCAGACACGCGCATGCAAATAGACGCGCATCCTCCTACGCGGCTTGTGCCTCTAAAAATGCGACATGGCAGACGGCAGGCAGGGAGTCGCAGGGATAAAATAGAGGGGGCAGGGTGTATCATGAGCAAGGTCTCGAAAATAAGCGCATGCAGACTGAAATAAAAGCTATTTAAGAGAAAGAAGCCCACAAGAAAGCGTGCCAGCAACCGCGCACATTCACACAGAGAGTTGCACTGCCCGTCTGCCTCTTGGTATGTCTGTCTGTGTGTCTGTTTTTAACTGCAGTTCTAAAGCGCTTTGCAGCAAGTATACCTCCTTCTGGCCTCGACGGCTTTCTGCGGCGAGCTCTTTGATGCACCGATCAAACAGACGGCGGCGTTGATCGGCTGTAATGGCGCTGAAGCGCGGCTGATACACCAGGCGTGGCAAACACTGTGGCAGCAGAAACAGCATGAACAGAAACAGCATAAACAGAAACAGCATGAACAGAAACAGCATGAACAGCATGAACAGAAACAGCATAAACAGCATGAACAGCAGAAACAACGCTACATGTAATGACAGCCCATAACGAGCCACCTGCTCTAGGCGAATCAGCAGCGGCCTTCGCTGAATTTGGGAAGCACTTGGTCATACATATATATACATATATACAGATAGATATATATATACAGATAGATATATATATACGCTTGCTACGTTGCACATCCTATCCTGTGCAATGTAGAAGGCAGCACGGCAGTATTTCACCGTCTGCAAACGCGCGCAAGCAGCGGTATAACCGAACAACTATGGGGGCAGCCGCAGCTAACAACTACCTTCTCATAGACAGCGAAGGGTCCAAAGTTTTCTTCCCGCAACATTTGCTTGAAATCTTCCATCCGCCTGGCCAGTCCCATTAAGACCTCGAGCTCAGGATTCGTTTCTTGATCCGAATCATCATCGGATGAATCATCGCTGTCTTCAAGCTGCTGCTGCTGCGTCTGCTGCTGCTGCGTCTGCTGCTGCTGCGTCTGCTGCAGCTGGTGCGCACTGGTGGCGGTGCTGCTGCTGCTGCCGTTGCCCCTCATTGCAGCAGCAGCACCAGCAGCGGCAGCCGCTGTCTCTTGCTGCTTCTGCTGGAGTTGCCGCTGCTGCTCGTGTTGGTGCTGCATCTGCTGCTGCATCTGCTGCTGCTGCATCTGCTGCTGCTGCTGCAGTTGGTGGCATTGCTGATGGGAAGGCTGCGGAGGCGCCGCAGGCAAACCTTCATCCTCGTCGGGAGCCTCCCAGTCGTCAAAAGCATCCAGTGCTGCTGCTGCCTTGTCGAGCCGCTGCAGCAAGTCTTTCACCTCCTCCGGAACCTTCCACACAGCAACCCGTGTTTCCTTGTTGTAAAAATACTTCTTTCCACCAGACGTCCTCACTCGCAGCCTGCGCCACACACACCCTCCAAGCCTTTAAAGCGCAGCCCCTTGTGCGCCAACTCGGAGGCGGCACTGCTCGCAATGCAGCAGGAGGCAGGGGGCGAGAGACGCTGCGCTTTCAAAGCCAAACATGAGCAACCCCACCAAATAAACACCAAGAGCGCATGCAGAGAGCTGCAGGCGGTTGTCGCCGTGCGATTCGCTGAACTGGCCGGTTCTACACGCCAACGCACTTACCAAGAAGTCTTGCCTAGAACCTCGAAGCTCTCAGGTTTGCCGATATCCTCTGAAGCAGCCGCCACTCCTTCACTTGAAGGCGCCCCCAAGGAAGCAGCAGGTGCTGCTGCGGAGCCTCCTACCCCGTTCTCAGCCTCCTCCTGACCTGGCCCTCCAGAACCTGCTGCTGCAGTTGCTGCTGCTGCACTCTGCTGCTGTTGCTGCTGCCAATGCATCAGGTACATTTGCTGCAACTGCCAAAACTGCTGGAACTGTAGCTGCTGCTGATGCTGCAGGCTCCCATTCCCTTGAGGCGTTTGAGGCGGCTGGGCCCCTGCCCCCAGCTGCTGTTGTTGCTGCTGCTGTTGCTGCTGCTGCTGCTGCTGCGCTTGCAGATGCTGATGTTGGTAATGAGTTCCTGGAGGCTGGGGAGGAGCTGGTGGTGCCGTGCAGAGCCGCCCCGATGAGAATTGCTGCTGTGGCGGGTAGACCATCTGCATCGGAGGAGCCGGGGGAGGTTGCTGCTGCGGCTGCTGCCAGTATGCAGAGGCTTGTTGCTGCTGCTGCTGCTGTTGTTGTTGTTGCGGGGGGGGTGGAGGAGGCATCGGGGGTCCGGGAGGCGCCGGCGCAGCGCGAGACCCTTGAAGAGAAGCCAATCCAAGTCGCCTGTTGTGATGTTGCTGCAGCCGCTGCTGCTGCTCCTGGTATCGCAGCATGGCTGCATGCCTCTCTGCGTCGGCTGCTGCCGCCGCAGGAGCGCCGGGGGGCCCATTCGGAGGGCCTCTCGTCTGCGCCTGCATTCGCACAGCTAAACGTGTTCTGCGTTGCTGCGAGGGTGATGAGATGACGCAGAGGGTACCGCCGGTGCAGTGAAGCGCGATCCCTAGGCCCTTCTGCAGAACTGGGCCTGGGAAGGATGCAGCGCTGTCCTCTTCGGAGGCTCTCCGCTTGGTTTACAGGCCGTCAAACAACTCCTTAGTGCGCGGGAAACCCGCTAAACTCGAACCCAGCCGCCAGAAGCAGCGGCAACGGCGCCGGCTCCCTGCAGGGCTGCATGTGCTATTTTACTATCCAGCCCCTACACTTCCTGGAACCCTCATGCTGTCCGATACCCAAATATGCATCTTTTGAACTCTAGTCATGCATATAGGAGATATCGCGCCTATTCTAGCTTCTGCCTACCGGCGCATCGCTGCTAATTGAACGCCTCGCAAGTGTCTATACACTCCACAGGCCGAGGCGGCCTGCATCGAAACTTCATGAAATACGCGGTAGTTCGGTGGATCTGACCTGTACAGCTCAGGTTAAAGGCTAGGAGCTTTGCTCTCGGGGCTTAGCTGGACTTTTCCAGTGCAGCATCCCCCCGGCTGTGCTCGCACCGTTGCTGCTGCGAGGCATTCAGAAGCTACAAGAACACCCAGGTCCTGTGGGTGGACCCAAAGTAGGAACAAAGACGGGCCGGACGGCTACTGGTGGCTGCAGGAGTCATGTCGGAGCTTAACAGCCATATGCCACCATCCCGATACGGGCATCCGCCAGCACAGCAGCACTACCAGCAGCAGCAGCTGCTGCAACATCCGCAGCAGCAGCACCAGCACACCGGCAAACGCCAGTTGCAGCAGCAGGCAGGCAGCACTTCGGAAGAGGACGACGCCTCTTCACTGAGTGGCAGCAGCAACTGCAGCAGCGGACCGGGAGGCAGCGAGGATGAATCACGCCGCGGGCCTTGTACCCTCCCTGTTCAGATGCCTTTGGGCCCCTCTGCGGCAGCACCAGCAGTAGCCGCGGCAGAGGCTGTGTCAGCCGGCTATGCGCAGCCTCCTGCAACGGTAAGACGGAGGGGACCACGTGTACGCTGAAACCGCGCCCAGCCGGGTGCCTTCCTTTAGTGTTCTCACGCCCTTAGCCTAGGTCTCTCTCTTTCCGCTTCTTTTGTCACCATGCAGTATTGTGCCATCACTGGCGTGCAATGCACCGTCGCTAGACTCCCACCCACTTCTCTCGGCTAGGGGTAATTGAAGAAGGTGGCTTAGGGAGGGTGAACGGTGCTGGCAGCGACTCTGGGGTGTGATTATTTGAACTGGCCCTGGCGTGCCTGTAGCAGGAGGGAGGCCTAGTGTTTCTGCTCTGGTACAACTGGCATGGCTGCCGGTGCTTTGGGGGACGTCTCTGATGCGTGCAGTCGACTACAGGCAGCCGTTCAGAAGAGCGTCACAGCAGACGCGTTCGCCGGGTGTATATGAAAGGTAGGAAGGCTGTTTCCCATCTGTGCTTCGCTTTTTTTGCGAATTAATTTTTCGTTCATGGGGCCTCCCCCCGTTGCCTCCCCACCTGCCCCACCCGCCTTCGGGGTGCGTCGTTACTCTCGACTTTCCGTTGCACCGGCAAACTCAAGGGCGGCATTCATGCGAGCTGTAGTTACACCGTAGAGCGTAGAGCCTTTCCTTTTGCCGTCCACGCGGGTTGCTGCATTGTTCTGCTATGGGGGCTTTCCGCTGCTCCTCTTGCAGCCGTGCGGCTGTTGACAAAGATGTGCATGATGCTGGAGGATGATCGCGTAATTTCTGCATCTCCCGAAGCGACGGCAGCAAAAAAGCTGGGAAAGCTCTTGTAAGGCGGTGACGCTGTTGCCCCTCGCTCGTGTTGCGTGTATGTACCCAAGGTGTACGTACAAGGGCGTTTAAGGCTTTCCGCCTGTGCCTCTGATCCTGCCTTAGAGAGAGTCGGCCTCTAGACACGTGCTTACACGTAGACACTTGCATGTGCGCACATGGCGAAGCTGTCCTGTTGCCGCCTAGCCCCTAGCTGTACTGCCGCGAACCCATAAACGGCATGTAGAAAGTGAAGGCTTATAGTGAAGAGGCGGAGAGGGGGGATGGCAAAACTCCCGCCGTGCCGCTTGTGCGGGTGATCGCAGGATCCGGTACGATCGTCTAGTAGGGCGTCTTGAAGGGCTTGCTGCACGTGAGGGCCCCCTGTCTGCTGCCACAGTTCCGGGGGGCCTCTTAAAGGCCCTCGACGACGATGCAGATCCGCGAGAATGGATAGAAGAATGCGTCTTAAAGCCGCACCGACGCGAGAACAACAAGGCGAGGGGATTGCTGCACGCCCTGGGAGTACGTCTACACATAAATCTATATCCACGGGAGGCTCCTGGATCTTTCAACGGGTTGGCAGAGACGGGAAAGGTCAACAACTGGCAGGGCAGGGAAGCACAGTAGGGTCGATAGATGTGCGGGTGCTGCTTTCCGAGAGACGCGCAGGGTAGGGCAAGGCGGAGAAATATTTTGAACACACACCCCTCTGACTCCATGTGGTGGCGCTCTCTGCTCAGTCGTACCAGGCTTCCATTCTCCACACCATGCGATGGGAGGCCCTGGAAAGGCCCCTTGAGCCCCTCCATCGTCTCCAACCCCAGGGGATCGCGTCTCCAGAGACGCAGACACCCTAAGTTTCGAAAGGGCCTCATTCCTCCCCTTTTTCCCTCTCCCTCTTGGTGGAATCCTTTGTGCATTTCCTCGGGGCCTCTTTTACGGCCTCAACCTCTCCTCCACCCCTGCCCCTGTCGAAGTGCTGCGAAAGCCAGCGGCATAGGCCTAGTCCCTAATCCTCAAAGCCTGCAGGCCCTACGCATGCAGACAGTGCTGCAGCAACAAATCAAAAGAGGGGGGACTGAGCGACCCTGCCATCAGTGGCAGACGCTTCAACGGGATACGTCCCCCAACTGCAGGCAAGGGGGTGGGCTCTTCTAAGCGCACAGACAAACACCCACGCACACGTGTACACATTGGCACATCAACACGTATGCGCATCGACACATACGCACCTATGCAAATAGGCACATACACACCTATGCAAATAGGCACATACACACATATGCACATGGGCACATCGACACATACACACATAAGCACATCGACACATACGCATCTATACACATAGGGACATCGACACATACACACCTATACACATAGGCACATCAACACATAGGCACATACACACATAGGCACATCAACACATAGGCACATCAACACATAGGCACATCGACACATACACACCTACACACATAGGCACATCGACACATCCACACGCACATAGGCACAGAGGCAGGTTTAACAGCAACACGGGTTCCAAAGGTGGAGACGCCTACTGCTTGCCATGCGTCCTCACGCGTGCAGACGAGGTGGTAGAGCAGCTGTGATGAAGGGCTTCTAGGCCCTTCAAGGCCTCATACCATTCTCCAGCAGGAGCGCAGGCATAAGGAGGGTCCAAACGAGAGCCCTCGGGAAAGAAAACATCAGGAGAGATTTTTCCTGTGGAGTGCAGAGCATGACTCCTCCGCCTGGGTGGTGCTAGCCATAGCACCTGCAAACTGTGGCAAGCCGTCGTCATTGCGGCCTCTGCCGCCTCTTGTACATCCGTGGAGGTTTCCAGAATTCCAAACTCTTGCGTAATACGCCAGTAGTGTCAGGCCCAACTGCACAGGCGGCGCATGCTTTGCCTGTCGAAGCCAGTTACCGTGTATGTTCACATTCTTGCAGGGTGGCGTCTGGTGCAGAATGCCTTCTTGTGAACCCTTCGAGGCTACCTTACGCACTATGTGGCCTCTCCCACCCTCCTAGTGGGCATGAGACTTCTCTCTCGCCCTAGGCGCTTCTCGTGAACGCGCTAAACAGGCAGTTCAGCTAGAGTTGTGCGTCTATATTTTCTGAATCCTTGAGATTCGCCGTGCTCGTTCACAGCTGCCTCTACATCTTGCTCTCCATCTCCCCACACCCAACTTTTAGCACTACATTGAACACCCTAGCGGCGCGCACGCATCCGTGTCTTTTAAAGAACGCAAAAAGATGTAGGAGGGGCCCCTAATAGGGCCCCTCACCTCGTAGCCTCCCTTTTTTGGAGGCTCTCTCACTGTGTGCCTGGTGAAGAAAGACGCTTCGCGGGGGGGTGGGGGGAAGGGACAGCGACGTCGAGAAAAACCCTGCGCTGTAGATCTACAAAAGATGGATCTCCTCCCCCTCCTACGCCTTCTTCCCCCCTCCTCCCCCTCCCGTCATGCCCTGTGCATCCCTCCTCCTCTCCTCCCCCTCCTGAGAGGGCAGCCTTTTGTTTCAGCAAGGAAGCGCAACATGGACTCTAAGAAAGCGAGACAGCGCGTGCTGCGGTTGCAACCTTCCCCCCGAATCAACCGTCACGCATGCATGGCCTATCCTTTCTTGCAAAAAAGCCGCGCCAGGTGGCTTCCTTCCCCAGCCCCCCCTACTTTTCATGACCAGTAGACGTCTCCCCAGTACTCCCAGAAGGGGCCTCGCTGCTGTCTGCTCTGGCCTCGGAGCTTTTTGCTCCAGGAGCTGGAGGAGGAGGAGGTGGTGGTGGAGGAGCAGAGGGAGGGGGAGGGGGAGCAGCGGAGGCAGTCTCGGCTGCCTTAGAAGCTTCCTGTTTGCGTTGTTCAGCTCGACGTTGGCGGGCAGCAGCCTCTGCTGCCGCAGCTGTGGCCTGCGCCGCTGCAGCGCGACGGCGCTCCGCAGCAGCTTCCCGCTGCTGAGTCTCGAGTCTGTCAAACTCTTCAATAAGGCGTGTCTGCTGGGGTGACAAAGACGTGGGCAACTGCGCAAGCACGCAGCAGTGCGCAACACACACAAGCAACACGTTACGCGTGCAAAGAAAGGCCAGGCCCTCTGTACCGCCAACCTACCACCTTACATGTAGATATACATATATGTAGATAGATAGATATATATATATATGTAGATAGATGTAGAGATATACAGATATATACATATATGTAGATGGATAGACGGTTGCCCCCCGCAACCGCCAATGCCTCGTTCCTCCGCCCCCTGCCAGGGTCTGCTGCCTCTAAAGACTGCATGCGCAGCAGCAGCAGCGCCTGCGTGTAGATGGCAGCGCAGCGGAGGAAGGAGGAGGAAGGCAGGCAGACAGGGAGGCAGGCAGGCACAGCGGCAGCAAGGGCTGTGGGGGGCCTCTACCCGAACACGGGAATACATAGGAGGCCCCTAACAGGGGTCCTAGCAAGCGACAGACTGAGCAATAAAAACGCGTGCTCCTCTTCCCCCTTCCCCTCTCCCCCTGGTTTCAGCCTAAAGGAACTGGCTCCAATCATGCACTCCGGATCACAGGCTTACACTCAGCTGGAAATGAACAACAATATCTCCATGCGCTCCCTGGTGGTGCATGCGCACGGGGCCTCGTCCTCTGAGAACCTTGACGGTTGCGGGGTTCGTGTTCGGCGATACGAGGAGCTCAATCTGTCCGTCCAGCGTGGGTACTTCCACGCGTCCCCCCAGAAGGCACTGAGCATGCAATATGCACAGAAGGAGGAAGGCGCAGCTGGAAAAGCGATCGATGCATGTCTCGAGCAGGGCCAGGAGAAGGGGGCAACAAGCGGCATAAATATACATATATATATATATATATATTTAGCGCTCACAGGAGGCCAAGCGAGGAAGCCGCCCTACACCCCACACACCATGCAAAAATGGACAAAGCGAATGAAGCCTCTTACTTGCTTCACAGAGAGAGGAACGTCAACGTGAAGATCGTCGTCTACCCATCGAAACACGGGGTGCGGCCGCACGCTGATCTGCAGCACAGTGGCAAAACACAGAGGAGCGAAGAAAGAGCAAAATAAAAGGCTTCACGCGCGATACATATAAATGTACACACGCTATACGCGCATTAATCACCAGAGCGCGCCCGCGGGAGAGCGGGGACTGCATCCCTGGTCCGCTTTCTCGACAGCCTTTTGCGCAACAACAAGACTACATCGCGTTGGCGGTCTCATCAAACGACGCTATCAACGCTTTTGACGGACTGCGAAGAGCAAACAAAAGATGTCGAGGGGATAAAGAGAAGCCTGCTTGCTTACACTAACAAAAAGATGACCAGATTTCCCACCTCGTTGACCAGCATGGCCTTGATTCGGCACGCGCATCTGCATGCCGTGTCGAACACCTGAATAAGGCACCCATAACAGCAGCAGCAGCAGCAAGATCAGACTCACAGAATGCACGGAGCAGCGCTTCCTCGGCAAACAGGAGAGGCCCCCCGACGAGCGCCTCGCAAAAGGCCCCCTGGAATTTTTTTCCGCAGCCCTCAACCTCTGTAGACGACTGGAAAAACGCGCTTACCTTTGGGGATGTCAATGCTGAGCGTTCGGGGCTGCATGCGAACCCCTGCGCCTCGGCAAGATCTGTGAGTACCCACCAGTTCACAACACATACACGCATACACTATATATACATATGTACTCGCGTGTATTCAAGCGGTGTGCAACTAGTTGGAGGAGTGATGGAGTGCAGCGGGAGAAACCTTGCAGCGGAAATTCACCAGAAAACCTTTGCCCCTCCCTCTTTCTCCCCTTCTCCCGTTATTCTCTCCCTCTTTCTCCCCTTCTCCCGTTATTCTCTGCCTCTTTCTCCCCTCCCCTGTCGCCTCCCCTGCCTGCCCGCGCGCGGGCTGCTGCAAGTGCAGCTCGAGACTGAGCTGCCACATGAGGGATGCTGCGAATCACTCTACGAACCTGCAAGGATTTGTAATAACTTGGCCGCTTCCGGAGCACTGCCGACAAGGCACTCCTAGAACAATGGGGCCCCTCTCAACCCTCTGCACACCGCTTCCACCACAGCCCCTGCAGCGCTGCACTCCGCTGCTCCCCGCAGCGCTTCCCGAGCCGCCGCATGCGTCGCACTGCGTGTTGGCACTGAATCGTAAGGTCTGCATGCAAGCACAAGGCCACGTAAATCGCGTGTTTTCTCACACACTGCGCTTTTTGGGATCGAAAGCAAGAAAGCCTCTAAGTCAAAAGCCCTCAAGGGACGAACAGGGGGCCCCCGTGTAAGGGCGTTTCGAGCTGCACTCTCTCAGGGGCTGGCAAGAGCGCGAATGAGACACGCAGAAACTCCCCCCCCCTTCCTCCCCTGCCCCCCTTCTTCCCCCCAATAACCACCTCCCTCCACCACTTATGGCTGGCATCTAGGGAAGAAGAAGTCGACCCAAGTGCGCTTAAACACACCGCACCTTCTCGCAACCCTTGACAGCCTCCATGAGGTCTAACCCCAGTTCTGTCTGGATGTCCTCCCCGCGCGAGGCCCCAGTGGGCCCACCCCCAAAGGCAGACGCAAACGACTGGGGGCCCCCCCCCGCGTAGGCGCCTCCCCCGCGAGCCATAGACGCAAACATCTCCGCAAAATCGGTGAAGAGCATCGAAGGGTCAAAGTGCGCTCCACCCCCAAAACCTCCTGCAACAACAACAACGAACGCAGCACTCAACAACGGCGGCCTGTTGCACACACGCACCACCACTGTGCAGCGTCGAAAGCACTCCCCCCCTCCCAGGAGAGACAGATCAGACGAAGAACCTTCTTCCCAGGAAGAAAAAAAAAACTCTTGAGCCAACAGCCTCACCTGCACCGGAACCTCCAGCGGCGGCTCCCGCAGCAGCGTCCTCCGGGGAGATGCCCGTCCTGTCATAAAACTCCTTCTTCTTCGGATCGCTCAAGAACTCGTATGCGCTGAAAAGGAAAACGCGGAAGGCGCACACGAACCCATAAAAGCACACACGCATACATATACAAACACACATATAAATACACACATATATAGACATACACACACACACAACCCTTCCCAAACGAAAGCACCCCGGCAACGAAAAGCCGCGCAGGCAGATAAGCGCCAAGCAGATGCTTTTAGAGGCCGCAGTGAGCAGATTTTTTTCCACGCGGAGTCAGTTGCCTCTGCGCATCGCCCGTCGCTCGCCGCTCCTAAGGAGACAACCTCTGTTGCCGAGGGCGTTAGCGGCGCAGAAGTGTGCCCGTAGTCGATAACAGCGGGTCGGCTGTGCGCCACTGAGAGACCCGCGCACTGTCTCGCCAGTTCGCGACGCAGTCAGCTAGCCCTTCGGGCTGCATGCACTGGGCACCTCGCCTGCTCGCTGATACGCTGTTCAAGCAAGCGAGCGACTCAGCTGCTCCGCGATGCGAGCAGCGGAAGGCCTCCAAGGAGGAGCCTGAGGGCCCCTCTCGCTACGCGCGTAGCAGCCAGCACGGCTAACATCCTCAAAACACGGCGCGCACACTTGCGCGGCCAAAGCCTTTGCCAGGGTTTTTGAGGCAGGAGGGGCCCCTCTAAGGCGAAAACAAAGAGGGCCCCCTACCCGCAAATGGAGACAACCTACGCCGTTATGTTCGCCATTGTCTGCTTGGCGCTTGGGCTAGGATTCAAGTCCGGATGATACTTCTTTGCCTGTTCTCTGAAGGCTTTCTTGACCTCGGCGAGGGGGGCCCCCTTGCTGCAGCCAAGGATCTCGTAGGGGCATTTCTTCGCGCTTCCCCCCGACGCGCTGCTGAGGCCCCGCCGCTCCCGTCGAGGGCCCCCGCCCCCCACATGGAAGCATTCCGCGCGGGGGAGGGCCCCCTTTGCCAGGGGGCCCCCAAGGATCCTGGAAGATCCCCCCCGCATCTGCGCCGCGAAGGCGGCAGCTGCGTCCTCGGTGCTCGCAGTGGCTGTCGCCTGCCTGCGGGGCCCTCCGGAGCGGAGGGTCTTTTCAGAGGGCGAGGAGGGGGCCCCCGCCGCGGGAAGAGGATGCACCGAGCTCTCAGGCCGCTCGGGAGGGGGCCCCTCGGGAGGGGGCCCCTCCCGAGGGGCCCCCTGCAACCGTTCTTCCAGAAGGTGCGCGCTGTACGTCAGCTTTCGCGCCTTCCACTGCGTCCCCAGACCTTGCAGCCGGCTGTGCACGGGGGCCCCCGCCGACGCGCGAGCTCCCGACGTCATGAAACCTGGGAATCTAAAAAAAGGGCTCAAATGAAGGTGTTTCAGGGGGCCCCCCGACTCGCGCGCGGTCTCCTCCTTCTCGCAGAGACGCAGCTGGAGAGCCGCTTGCGGCCAGGCATTTGCAGCGAGCCACTTGTTGCTGGAAGCCGCTGCGAGGAGGAGAGCGTTCGCAGGCTCCGCGGCAGAGGCGGCAGCAGCTTTCGCTGCAGCTGCAGCTTGACCACCCAGAGGGGGCCCCGGGGGCCCCGCGGCACCTGCTGCCGTCGCTGCCGCGGTGGCTGCAGTGCTGCTCGAAGACTGCTGCTGCGCCGTCGCTCCCTCGGCCAGAAGGACGCGGTTGAGCGCTCGAAGCAGCAGGGGACTGCTGCTCGCGCACGAGAAGAAGAAACCTCGCTGATGCTGCACTCCCGCAAACCTCCACTTAGGGGGTGCCTGCAGTGTTTCCTGACCCAGCAAGCCCGTGGGGGGATGCCACGGCGCGAGCCGGAGGGAGGGGCCTCTCGAGAGGGGGCCCTGCTGAGCGTGCAGCTGCTCCCTAGGGGCCTCCGGCTTTGCGGCGTCTTCGTTGTTCGACGCGGGGGGCCGGTGACTGCATGCACGGCCAAAGCAGCCAGCTTCCGTCGCTTTCGCGCCATGCCGACTGCTCGCCTCCGGCTTGGCGCGTCGCGGGGGGCCCCCCGAGGCCTTGCAGGGCCCCAAGCGGGGCCCCCGAGAACGGAAGGCTGCCGGGGGATTTCTCGCGGCTGTGGGCCGTTGGGGGGCAGGGGGGATCCCCTGGAGTCGGTGGAGCAAGAGAGAGCGCGTCATCGTCGGCCGGAGGGGTGAAAGAAGGCGCTCAAGAATTCCTCGGGGTGTCTATACATGTACGATATGCATGGAGGACACGTTTTCACGCCCTAAGAAGATCCGCCTGAACGCCCTACACATCGCTGGAGGGAGGCCTCCGAGGGCCCCCCGCGCCAGCGCTGCTCCACAGGCGCGCGTGGGCAGCTGGCAACGACGAAAAGGCAGATGCGCGCGAGCGAGGGGAGACTGAGGAGGAGGCCTCGCCTTTGAGCCTGTTCTCCCTGTCTCTGTGTAGCGCGGTCGGACGTGGGGTTTGAGTCTCAGTGTTTCGAGGGGGCGCTTGAAGGAACGTGAGCACCGGTGGAGTGTCAAAGCCTTGCGAAGCAGCAGTATTGCTTCAGATGCCCTTACCGACGGGGTCACACTGCTAAGTCGAAGAGTGTGGGGCTATAAGGTACTGCTGCGGTTGCTGCTGCGGCACCGGCTTCCACGCAAAATGTCGAAAGATACGGTTAAAAATCTGAATTGTACGTGTATTCTATGATAGTCATTAGGGTTCTAGCGTTTTTAGCGCAGCCGCGCACGGAGAAAGATTTGCTGGTTGCATCGAAGGGCCTTCCCAGCGCATGCGCGAGAGGGGGGAGGCCCCAGGGCTTGTGCAGCAATCCTTTCCAGTTTGGCTGTCGTTTGGCATGTAAAGCTCGTTTTGAGGCTCTCTTTTAATTAGCGGCTTGCTCGGGGCGCGTTATCCACGGGCGGCTCCGTTCGTGGAAGTCGTAACCACTGTGCGCGCGTGTCTTCGGGGGTGGTGCGACTTGAACAAATCTTCGATCATTTCATGAAAGCAGCCAATCAAGAAGGCGAATCTTCCTTGCTGTGCCTCCACGGAGGAAGAGATCCCCTCTTCTTGATGCCGTAGCTCCTGCCGGTGTGAACAGGGAAGGGACGGCCTGCCTGCCCCCAGGGAGGAGGCCACTGGTCGGCGTATGTACACCCGCCACCCTCTCCCGATACGCTACACAGTAGGCACTTGCTGCTGAGCACATGACCTGGCGAGGAGAACTGACGCGATCCAAAAGCTAATAATGTGAGGACTGGGACGTATAAGGCCCACACACGCAGAGTGAGCACTCTGTGTGTCCTTGCAAGCCGGTCTTGTTGTAGAGCCACGCTGCTTAGGCGCCTCACTGCCAGCTCTCATGGCGGTAGACGGATGGATGTCAACCACGCTACCTGTGCTTTGAGTCTCTACCCCAGGCCTTCTGTAGGTAATCCTCCTTCCAAGGTATCCATGGGAAGCACTCAACTCTGCCACACGCAATGCAAACTTAGCTTAGCATTGTTTAGTGCTGTCAAAAACTCCCGCGCTCCATGAGCAGGCTTCTCATCCTTCCACGTGTGACACGAAAAAGACCGCTAGGGAGGGCGTAGCTGAGCTCTCTTCGCACGCCAACCATGCATAGCCAGTAGCACACCCATCTTACGCACACCACAGTTGGTCTCTTTGTATCGGGCTAACAGGACGCTGCACACGTACTTCGGCATACAAAAAACAAACCGACTAGTCAATTGCTTGCTAATTACCAGGCCCGACAACGGGTGAAGTAGAACACGTTCGAGGGAAGCTTCGCCCACGATCTTCTACCAAAAAACGCCATTTGTTGGCCGTGGCTTGTGTTGCGAAGGGATTTGGGCTCAGTAAGGGGTTGGCAGAGAAACGGCGACTAGAGTGTATATGTGAAGTTCCCTGTGTTTTACTGAAAGGGTGCCGATGTTGCCACATGAAGGACGTCATCTATAGACGGTAAGAGGCACAGAACGAGCCCCACGAGACTGGAGATAGGTGGAGAAAGCGGGTGTATCGGGACCGATAGAAAAAGCAAATGAAGGAACAAGGGGGATAGAGGATGCCGGAGATTTGCGGGGACAATCAAATAAGAAAATTAGAAGCTGCGGGCGAACAATAGCCAAAACACGGATGTGCGCAATCTGAGAGCAGTTTCTGCCCACGAGGAGGATGTTTGGTACATGATATTCTATGCATTGTTTTTCTCCTACCGTCCTGGCTCAGCCCATCCTTCAGAGGTTCTGCCACCATGCAACCCATCAGAACGCTGGAAAGCAGCCTTTAAATGAAAGTTTTAACTTAGCTACGTTGTGTATACGGGGAGAAAGCAAGGCCACGGATTGCATCCCCTTAATTGTAGTTGATGGATGCTGCGCGACCCAGTAGCAATCCGTTGACTTGTTCGCAACGGAATAACAAAACGGTACAAAGAGGAACGGGCAAACTACATCATTTCACGGTCTATGTAGCGCTTTGACACTGTCTACTACCCTGGTCATACTAAGAATTAGTAAAGGATTGATGACTTGGTTTGGCTGTTCCTATAACTTACTTCTTGTAGTGTAGCCTTCGCTCACTACAAAAAGACGCAGTGGTGCGTGTATGTGCGGTAATTGCTTTGTACAACTAGATGTGAATGCTGGGAACCGTTGAAGGGTACAGCAACGCCCAATCACTCTAGCAGTCCCTCTGACATGCCAAAATTCTGTGGACCATGCGTAAGGAACAAGGAGGCTTTTGTGATAAAGCACTCAAAACCCCTGTTGATAAGGTTTGTGGCAAGTCTGAAGTTCATTGCCCTCCTAAGCACACCTCGGATAGAATGCTGCAAGTTCGGATAGAGCTCCTAACATCTGGCTTTCCCAGAATCTGCAAAAAAATGGGAGTCTATGGTCTTTTCTGTGGCATCCGCACAAACTCTGGGCATCAGGCGCCTCTGCAGAGTAGCTAGGTTTGTTCGTGTAGAGAAGGGGGATCTGAAAAGATATCAATCTTGAAGTATGTGGTAGACTGCCAATTGTTTATTCTCAAAGCCAGAATTAGAGATGTAGGCGAGTGTCTCAACCGCGTGTCAGAGGGGACTGCACTCGATACGCGCTCTCTGCATGCGAGTTCACCAGTTAACTTCCATACCCAAGTCGATGCATGCTCTCTTCTGCTTTCTTTCCCTTGCACTGGTAAGACGGACTTCGTTCTTCGGCGTGCTCCTCGCAAACTTGTATTCGGCTATTTCAGGAGCAGAGCCAGCAGCACGGCTGGCTTTTCCAGCGATTCTGTTTAAGAGGCGCGGGTCGGCAGCGAAAGTCTCCGCAAATGGCACGGAAACACGGCAACTATGTGGCCAAACGTGCGCCTATCCAAGACAGCATAGGTGCTCCCCATGAGCAAGCCCTCAGATAGGACAAAGGGGACTTTTCTTCAGGAGTCTGCTATGGCAGATGCCTCAACAGCACAACGAAGCAGGGCAGTCCACAGAGCGTTGTTGAACGCAAAGCACTGTCGAGCACTAGGGGCTCCCTATGCTCCAGCGCTGCAGATGTGTGCACTACAACACTGCTCTAGCCACGCGCCTGTTTTATTAAGTGAGGCTGCTGTGACTCTCTGCTGCCTTCTCACCGCTCAACCTTGTGACCTAAATGCTTTAGCCTCCCATGCTTCCCTAGGCACCCGTGCTCCGTGCTTCTATAGGGCTGCGCATGGGAAAGGTATCCGAAACAAATAACCAAATGCTGAGTCGCACAGCTCCCGTACGGCGTATGTGGCAGACTGCTTCTTTTTGCCTTTCCAGTCGGCGCTTCCCGTAGGCCAGTTTTCCCTTTGAATACCTTACCCGCCAGTGTGGTAAAGCGAGCAAGAACTATTATTGGAAATAAGAGCGCGAGAGGGAGGCCTAACGGGTGGGAGGGAGAGGGCCTGCAGGGAATAAGACATGAAGAGACCGAGAGGGCACTGGTAGAAGAGAAGCTTCACAGAAAATGGATTGAATGCATCGCGCGAAGGTAATTCGTCGTAGCAAGACTTTTGTAGAGACCAGCTCAGGATGTGGATGTTGGAAGCTCCAGTACTCAGTAAAAGGGACGCAGAACCGAAGCAATGCTTATCCTTACATCTAAAGGCTCTAACGGCACTGTGATCTTTTCTTCTGAATAAGTCACCCTAGTCTATGCGTTGCACCTTGCGTTTTGCTGCCTCGCGTTAAACTTAGACGGAACTGTACAGGCCGCTGTAGTCGATGTGGCGCCTGCATTGCGCTTGGCCTTCGCAATAACCAGAAAGGCTTCTCAGTCGCTTCTTGTTCAAGTATGCCACCGCTCTACTGGTTCAGGCCGGATGCCCAAGCTAGAGTTTAGAGTGGAGGGAGGGCCCAAGGAACCCGAATGCACTCTCAGTCGCACACAAAAAGACGTGTGCAACCATAATATGTCGCCGGAACTAAGGTACCCCACTTTGGGAGAACGCAAAATTTCAAGAATAGTGACCCTCTACGTGGAAGACCTCAGCAGCACTGGCTTGCTGTATTACGACCCCAGAGTCTTCTCAATGGGGCGCTTTTACAGCTGCAAACTTGATAAGCACCGAAGAACAAGCTATGAAGTTACCCTTCAAGAGAGCTTCCTCCTCTTCCCTTTCGCTTACCTCATATGGCCCTTCCACTGATCTGCAGTGAAGTGAATTCTCTGGCTGACGCGTGTAATCCTTTGGAGCCCGTTCAGCAGCCATCTCACGCGTATGTTTTGCTGCTTTAATGCGTATGTACAGTGTAGCGGACTATTCAACACTTGGGCACTTTGTACTGCGCCCGTGACATCTTTCAATGAGTAAGGGATTAACCTCCTGGTTTGGGCGTGTGCATAAATTATTTGCTGCGTACTACAGTTGCCTGAATACAGATAGACGCAATGTTTCATGCATCCGCGCTGACTGCGTTGTGCAGCTAGCTGTAAAGGCTTTGAGTGCTAAGAGAATGCAAAGCGACCATGGCCTAGCGGTCTCTCCCCCCACTTGTGGAATTCCTTGTACCGAGTTCGAACGTGAATTTCTCAACAGAAAACAAGTGTCAGTGTTGCTGAGAGGTGGCAGAATGGAACGACTGTCAAGGCTGTGGCACTTGTTTGCAAATTTAAATCAGTATTGGGGCGTAGGAGCACTGTTTATGCCTTCTGTATCCGGGAGCAAGCCAATGGTAGGAGGATGAGTTGCTAGAGCTGCGTGCCACGACGTTTAGCGTGCCAGAAAGAGCTAGGCGAAGAAAGTATCTGGCCGCCTCAGCAACGCAGATCTATTCATGCTGGGCATGGTGTAGTTGGAATCGTATTAAGAGAAGCCAGAGCCTTGTGCGGGCCGCTCAGCCGTGCAGTAAAAGAAGGCGAACTCGAGGACGCATATAGTGTTAGTGGCTCCTCAACTTATCCTATTTTGCTCAAGTCCATTGAGTGCTCAGCCTTGAAGCAGCATGAATGGGCGAATTCTCAGGAGCTTCTTGAATCTGCTAAATAGTGAGGAGGTGCCAGCAGGCTGGCCAACTGCTGGTCCTCCAACGCACTGTAGTCAGTTAATCTATGAATTAGCCTCAAGCTGTCTTCTTCGGTATCGGAAACACTTACAATATGATATCGGGCGCCGGGTGGATGTTTTGCTGGGGAAAGGCAAAGTGGAAAAATCTACCAAGGCTTTTGTGCATAACCCGGTATTGCTGCCGGAGGTGGGGTCTGTGCGTCAACTTTGAGAACCTGAAGACGATCAGTGTAGAGAAAAAGTTTCCTGTGTCTCGTACCGGCAAATCTTTTGCAGTGTATGTAGATAAACGATCTATTCGGTATCTGACGATACAGCTGCTTCTCACAATTCCCCATTTACCCTGATAAGAGGAACAACACGGAGTTTTACACGCGCATTCGCAAATTCAACTTGATATGTGCCATTTAGACTTGTCAGTATAGTAGCTGAGCTGCAGCAGCCGGCTAATTGGGAGTCTTAGTGACCCATCCAGGAAGGTCAGGAAGCTGTCCAGATGGACACCGATTTAGTCTTCGACCGAAACATTCAAGACAACCTTAAGCACGTATGGTGCGCATGACAGCCGTTGAGGGCTAAACAATGGTATTTGAAGGCGCTCACGTGTTTTTTTTTATGAGCATGATTGTGTTGCTGAAATTTCGTTCTTCGCTTGCAGATATCGGAGTCAGATCAAGCAAAAACCGAAGTCGAGGATTTGCGTGTATTGGTGCTCCTTTGACTGATCTAATTTAACGACGCTTAAGGGTGATGCCGCAGAAAGGGTGATTAGTTGCCAGCGTACAACTCCGGTCTCTGCGGTGCCTAATCATGGGAGTCATTTCATCGTAACAACCGATGCTAATGACGGAGCAGTGGGTGTTGTTACACCAACAGGCTGCATGCTCTTCAAAGCCCCAAACGGTTGCTCATAATCATTACCGCACAAAACCGAGCAGGGGTCTTCAGTGCAGTAAAAGAATTCCTTGCTGTGTGATGGTGCGTGCAACAATGCTGGCACCATTTGAAGGAGGCGATTTTGCTGTCTCGCCCGACTATCGGGTTTATGGGTACCTCACGAGTAGTCTTTAGAAATTTGGGGTAAGCATAGTGTTGCGTTCTGTCATTGTCGCCTCCTGCAGCACGGCCTTGCAACAAAGTATATGGGAGCAAGCACAAATGTGGTCACCGCAGCCTCTTGAGATGCCTCAGTAACGTACTACTGTGCAGTGCAACCAATTTCGTCTGCAGTAAATCACGGTTCCCGCTAAAACTGCGTTAGCCTTATGCTTACGATACTAATGAATTCGCTGATGTAAGCAAATTCAAAATGGCGAAAGAGCGAAACACCACCATGTGAAGGATGGCCTGCAGTGCTTCAAAATGAAGTATTCATTCCGACTGCGCTTCACGGTGCTTTTCCGCCCAGAGCAATTGGTCGTGTTCTGTCGGACTCCAACTGGGATGCATACCACAGTCATACGACTCCCACGGTCATTCTGGTGACATGCAATGTGTATCACGTACAAGGAATGGGCACCGTCCTCCCTAGAGAGTGAGCAGCTGAAGTCGACAAATGCTTGTGCACCCCACTTTTTGCCAAGCTGTTCTGATCTTGGAAAGATTTAAAGTGGTGTCACCATGGGCTCTATGCTGGGACTGCTGGGGATCAGGTGTGGGTGTCGCTTATCGACTGGCTCAGCACGCATACCCACTTCTATTTTTTGCTCCAGCTGCGTCATGACCCAGGAAATCGCCCAATGTATATTGTCTCACGTCTTGGAGCATCATGGATGTTGCAGGAGTACCATCATGGATAGGGTTCCGAAGTTTATTTCTGCTTCTGTCGTTCTATGTGAGCCACCTACATTTTGATCGAAATATGAATAGTCCGGACAACCCTGGGGCATATGGACAGACAGAACTCACATCGGCACTCTGCTACAATATTTTCAGCTCCTTGTTCGTAAGACTTTGATTGCTTGGCTTGATTTTCTTCCTTGTACTAAGTCGATCTATGATACAACCGTGCAGTAGTCTACCTGTTGCTCTCCCAAATCCCTGGTCTACACTGAGAAGTTCCTCCGGATCGGTTTCTGGACCCAATAATTCAGGGGGATGAGCCACCCTTAGCACTAGAGAGATTCAGAAGAACGCTGGCTAGTGCACACCAATGTATGCAAAAAGCCCAAAAGGCAAGCACGGAGATATGATGGGTGGCAGTTGGCCCTCTGTTTCAGCCTAAGGGTCCTGGTGGATCAGTAGAGTTTACGGGGTGCACAAGGTGGTGCCTAAACAAGGAGGTTTGCGGCCTGGTGGCTAGGACCGTTTGCCGCCCCTAGACGAAGCACTTCTCGGTTTTGCTGGAACAATCTTCCTAACTGCTGGAGGTGCCAAAGCACTATCAAGATTCCTTCCTAACGGTTGCCATCTTCCCAAAGTAAGCACACACTTTTCCGCGCAGGAAAGTGACGTATGCTACAGTGAAGGATCCACAAAGAATGGTGATGGAAATGCTCGACTCTAGGCTGTTCAATGCCGAAAGCATCATAAATAGGGTTTCCTTGACAAATAGGGTTGGGAACACCGAAATCAGTGGCTGACGGAGAACCGATTGCAGGCTTTTGTATCTACGCGAGTTTTTGCGGCCATGTTGGGTTAGCAGCTCTAGTTGGCATAGACGGTATTCCTTGCGTTCCTTGGAACTTGTCCCTCTCCATTGCAAGGTTTGACTAAATACCTACCTTCATTCACGGAAGGTGTGCTTGAAAAGCGGCTATTCTCGTGAAACCTCTATTTATTAGTCATGCGCACGTACTCCGAGGTAGGTCGCCACTGCATTCTTATCTTGTGCCTCTTTTGGGGCCTGGAAATCGATTATGCTGCATGCACCAGATGCACTTGCAAGCAGATACTGTTTCGGCGTGGAAGCACTGCTGAGCTAGTGCGTGCATCTGTGTTCTCGTTGATTTCACCTTGAAGGCTGACACACATGTTTGTTTTCGCATTTGCACTGTTTTTGTGCCTTTGCATACCTGAAGTGTGACGATAGGGCAGGAACTTTTCCGCTGCCGGCATGCAGCGGGTCTCGACGTGCAGCCACAAAACACGATGGTGAATTATTTAACATGGGAGACAGAGACACGGCGAACTACGATACACTTAGACACTTTCGCTACATTAATCATAATTTACTAAAAATTAGTCAGGCATTGACCAACTGCCTCGTGTGTTCGCGTACTCTATTCATTGCCGAGTTCTCTCAACTCGATGCAACTAGGTGCGGTTTCGTGTGTGTGTGTGTAATAGATGCTATGTGCAACTGGCTGTGACTGCTCGGAGTGCCTAGAGGGTGCAGCCACGGCATCCTGGCGGCCCGTTGATATCGGGAAGTGTGAGGGGCGCGAACAGAGCGAAAAGAGTATTTCTAAAGAAAAATACTAGAGAACTTTCTATCAGGTTTATACTAAGTTTCGGTAAAAGTGTTGCCCTACCGAAACTTAGGATGGAAAAATGCAGCTGACTCCCAGTGTCGTTTTCCTTTAATTGGCGTCGCCCTCATTTTTCCCCTGTTTCTTTGCATGGTTTAAGCCCCGTCCCCCTTGCATATGAAGAAGGCCTTTTCTACGCCTGAAGGACTAGCCTGCCGCGTATTTCTGCTGAAAACCCATTTTGGGGAGTCGAATTTTGTGGGAAGTACACCGCGTAAACGGGGGTGCGAGTTAGCACACCGAACGACGGTGTCTCCTTGTCTATTGCAAGGACCGAACTGCAAGGGGGAAAAGGCGTCAAATGTAAAGGCATTATTTACTAAAGGCGCTTGCCACTTTTACGCGGGGGGACCCTTAGAGGCTGTAAAGGCGCCCTCCTCCTTGGGCACTCACAGCCCCACGCGGAAAAAAAAGCAGCCAAAAGGCTTTCACATGCTATTATATGGCGTTTTAATAATAAAAATTAGCACGAGGGTAAGCGTGCACTAGAAACAATAGGGCATGCCCCCGTATTTAGAGTTGCGTGTCTTGTGTGCTGCTCCAGGCGCTCAGTTCAGGCAGCAGCAGCACTGCCACCACTCGTTGCTGCAGCGCCGTTGCGGCGCTTTTGTCGGTAGGGCTTAGAGGGTTACCCAGCGTGCTGCCCGACAGAAATCCTCGTGTTTTATATCCTTCCTTTTCATGCATGCAAGGAGCCCTACCTGTTTTTCCTCTTGACCGCCCGCGTGATTCGCAACAGGCCACACAAACCATGAGTGGGCAGCCAGCAGGGGAGGAGCTGCCATACATCGGCAGCAAGATCTCCTTAATCTCCAGTTCAGACATCCGCTATGAAGGTGAGACAAGTACAACAACCTCTCCGTGGCGAAAAGGTCACGTATTCCTCCCGTACCGTGCCCGAATTCTCTTCCAGGGGGCTGGCCGTCGCCTGCTCGAAGGGCCCCCCCGCTCCAAGGCTTGCCATTGACATGGTTTCCCGTCAATAGGCTAAGTGAATAGTGGATCTGGTTGTGAAGCAGCGCTCTAGCGGGGGATTCGCGACACCTCCATGAGCTGCAGCTACTCCTCGGGGCTCGCATGCACTTCTGGGCATCCGATATCCAGGGAAAGCGTTGCAAGGAAGCTGTAGGACCCTTCTTGGAGGCTTATTAGATGCATTTTAGTTCATGGGATTGTGCTCATTCGTGTCCGGGGGGCTGCCAGTTCATCGGAAAAGTACCCCACCCATGGCCAGCACCCGACTTGCGGGTGTAGGTACTGCATCGCTTGTCATGCCGTATGCGCCATGTGCGTCCGAGACCTCTTTTGTGGGGCTTTCATCTGGGCGTAGCTGAGAGGCAGCGGGCCATTGGAGGGCGGTTATTTGAAGAATAATCCATATGTCGGCAAAGGGGAGGGGAAGGAAGGGACGGGAAGAGAAGGATGCAGCGGTTCGGCGGGGGGATGCAGAGTGACGGCACGGCACCTTTTTTCGGCTGGTATAGAGACTAAGGCACTCTGCTCGAGTGGCTTCGCTGTTTTTTGCGTCCTTGTTGTGTGCTTCACGCGGCATCCTCATTGCTAGATATGTTTCTTACCAGTTCCGCCCTATTTGCATGCGCGTCGTGTGCGTGTTTCCTGATTTCTGTGGGCTTGCCGTCTTCTGCTGGCCCATGCGTTTCGGCGTCTCTTTACCGAATGCTGTGTATTCGCACCCCACACGGTGTGTACTTCTCGTTTCTCCTTTGGATTGCGTTCCTTGTGGTCTCCTCCTGCAGGCATCCTGGATTCCATAGACCCCATAGCGTCCACCGTCTCCCTCCGCTTCGTGCAATCCTTCGGAACTGAGGGGAGGCCTGTGTCCATCCAAGTGCCGCCTTCGACGGACATCTACAACTGCATTGTGTTTCAAGGTGCGTTGGGCAGCATTCTTTGCTGTCTTTACAGCTGCAGGCATAGCGACAGCGCTTACCCGGCACAGTGTGTGTTGTGTGTGTTGTGTGTTGTGTGTGTGTGTTGTGTGTGTGTTGTGTGTGTGTTGTGTGTGTTGTGTGTTGTGTGTGTTGTGTGTTGTGTGTGTTGTGTGTTGTGTGTGTGTTGTGTGTTGTGTGTGTTGTGTGTTGTGTGTTGTGTGTGTTGTGTGTGTGTTGTGTGTGTTGTGTGTGTGCTGTGTGTTGTGTGTTTTTTTCCTGTGGTTGCACTCGGAGGCGTGCTCAGAAACCCCGCCCCGCCGGATTGATTTTTGATTGAAGTTCTTGATAAGAAAGCTGAAGGAAGGCACTGAGAGCGCCTTCCTTCCTGCCTGGCAAGAGACGCGTGCTTCCACGTCCAGGCGTGTCTGTGTGTGTCTGTGTCTGTGCGTGCAGGCAAGCATATCAAGGACCTCACAGTATGCAGCGAGCCGGAGGCTCCCGCTCCCGCCATGGGGGCGTACCCCTCAGATCCGGCTATTGTGAGCATGGACATAGCGGTTCCTTCAGGGCCCCCTCCGCCTCCTGCCTCAGCTCCTCCCCTCCTTCGTGCTGATGGTACAGCGCTGCCCATGCCGCAGACTGCGGCGAGTAATCCGGGGGGAGGCATTTCTGTCTTTGGGGGGATGATGGAGGGTGCTGACAAAGTTGCGGAGCCGTGCTGTCCCCCCGTTTCCCCCCAGACGAGGGGCCCCTCGCAGAGACAGCAGCAGGTGCAGCAGCAGCAGCAGCAGCAGCAGCAGCAGCAGCAGCTGCATCAGCCCCAAGGCCGCGCGCGCCAGGCGAACGGGCAAGGAGGTGCAGGGGCCCCAGTGCAACAGGGGGCCTTTGGAGGCCGCAGCCATGGGGGGCCCTGGGGGGGCCCCCGCGCCTCTAGGGCGAGAGGGGGGCGAGATGGCAGGAGGCCCTCTCGAGGAGAAGCGGGAAGAGGGTGCACTGAGGGGTCTCGCAGTGTTGTGGGGGAACTGCAGGGAAAGCCCAATGCGCAGCTGAAGAGCGAGATGGCTGAGGAGTTTGATTTTGACGCAATGAATAGCAAATTTGAGAAGCCGGGTAAAACGCTCGAGCGTCTCTCTGACAGCATCTCTCTGACAGCATCTCTCTGACAGCATCTCTCTGACAGCATCTCTCTGACAGCATTTCTCTGACAGCATCTCTCTGAGAGTATCTCTCTGAGAGCATCTCTCTGACGGCATCTCTCTGAGAGCATCTCTCTGACAGCATCCTCTGCACCATGCGATTGAGGGTGGAGGACGGACGGCTTGGGCTGCAAGCGTGCAGGATTCGAGGGGTCACCGGATTGGCTTAGGCATTGTTGCAGCGTTTAGCTTAGATGGGCCCTTTCTCCGTCCGTGTGTGTGTGTGGCTTTTAGCGGGTTGGGTAGCTCTTGTGTGTTGTGCAGAGCCGTGCGGTTTTCGCTTGCTTAGTTGTCTTCTCCCTTGGACTGGTATGTGTGTTTTGCTCCTCTGCAGCCACCCTCGACGACAATGCGGAGCTGTTGCCGCAAGTCACCGCGTATGACAAGAACGTGTCATTTTTCGATTCGATTTCCTGCGAGGCGCTCAGCAAGCGGGCGGGGGCTCAGCAGCAGCCAGACTCCCCAAGTGCGCAGGATGATAAGGGCAGGAAAGCGGCTGTACGACAGCAAAACAGAGCGCTAGATGTGGACACCTTCGGAGAAGGCGCTGCACACTACAACCCCAGGCACATGAACGGAAGAAGAGGGGGTCGAGGCAGGAGCAACGGGAGAGGAGGCAGTTCAGCGAATCGTGGAGGCAGGAGTCAGCCAGGCGCACAGCGTACCTGGACACAGCGAGCCAAGCAGTCAGAAGTCGGAAGCTGAGAGCTTTTAGCGGTTGTTTCCGTAGAGATGGGGTGCGAAGGGCGCTCGTAGTATGTATGCCCATAAGTATACATATACTTTCGTAATTAGGGCGCCCACCTATCGTGGCATCCATACCAGCTTGCCTCCGTCCGGAGAGGCCTTGGGAGAAGGATGGATGTGAGTGTGCACGAAGATAGACGGGGCTGCATAGGGGCGGCTGTTGTTTGGTAATTGAGGCGAAGCGCTGCGATGTATAGGAAGCCGCAGTGGTTAGGCCCTGGCATTAGCGTAGCAGCAGGGGGAATGGGAATGCGTGGCGACGCTTCGCAGAAAAAGAAGCGTGCGTGGTTGTGCACACTTCGAGGCTCCCAATGAGGGGCGACTGGGGCAGCGGAGAGGCGGATAACTAGGGCGTCGATGTTTTGCGGATGGATACTCAAACACGCAGTATAGAGGTGCTGAGGGCTGGGGTTAGGCGTTGTGCGAAGGCAGGCCTAGCGGGGGAGGAGTCGTGTCTGCTGGTAACAACCGGGGGACGAACTCGTTGGACAGAGGGGGCACAGAAGATGCTGGTGCTTGCTGCCCCTAGTGAACGCAGCAACAACAACCAAGCTTGCTGTTAGGAGGAGCGGTGAGAGTCATGTGTGGATATGAGGGGCAACAACCCGGGCCCTTCCTCCAGCGGCCGTAGTCGTAGGTGTATATACATACTGCTTTCGTTGGGTCAAGCAGCGGCGGCAATTCTCGTGCACTGTATAAAGAGGCCTGACATTCACCAGATTGGCGATCTGGTATTTCTTGCAGTGCGTTCGTCGCTGCTGCAGGGGACCCCCCAAGTTGTAGAGTGGCCGCTGTAGCGCTCCTTGTGCCTTCTCTAGAGCCTCAATTGGAACTAAGTAGAAAGATTTCGGGTGCTCTCTTCAGGAATCTTTCGCTTCTCCTGCCCGCGGCCCTGACAGTTCCTGACAGAAGGGGAAGGGAGCTGCTAGGGTGCGCGCCGCTGCACTCACTAAAAAACTCCTCAAGCATTCAGCGCTAGCTAGCTGCACGTAGCATCCATCATGCTCACGCAAAAGCATTGCATAGTAGTCAACAGCATTGCGCAACGAATAGGATACTGGAGCATTTGGACTATTCATCAAACGTCTTCTAACTTTAGCTAGGCATAACTTCTGCAACAATACGTGTCTAATGTGTGACTCAGACTGCTCTGGTCGGGGAGCTTTGCTTATATATATATATATATATATATATATATACAATATATGTGTGGTCTGTATGGTGCACATGTATATATATATATGTATATATATGTATATGCGTGACCTGTTATACCGCCTTCTTGGACTGCGCAGCCACGTGCCTCGCCAAGGAATTAGCCATTTAGCAGCGAATAGCCTTAGTGGACGACGTAACATACTCTGCTAAGGAAATGGTGGCATGCGTTGCTTGCTTGGAGTGTCTGTAGAGCGCGAAAGGAGCTTTTCAGCTGCATATCTGCAGGTCGCTGTAAACGCTTTTGCTGTAGATAGGAGGCAGTGTAACAGTTCGTTTGTCGCCTCGTTCCAGGCCCTCACACCCTTGAAAATCCGCCAATGAGTGTAAGGGGGGCGGGAGGGGTGGCGTGCCAATTTAGTCCAGAGGCTGAGAGGGTACAGTTAGGGGGCCCTTCTGAACAGTTTGGTTGGTCGTATGCATGTGTTTGATGGCGCACAGAGGCGTATGCCATGACTTGCCATACTCGCTGGGCCTGCCTGGAAAAGGGTAGCACTCACAGGGGTCTAAGGCAGAGGTAACAAGATCGCATCTGCCCGCGGCAAGAGCTTGCCATTACAAATGCCGCCTAGATGGGGTCCATGGGAGCACAGGTGCAAACAGCTGCACCGACAGGGAAGTCTGGCTCCTGGGGCGCAGCTAATTAGCTCACAAGCACGAACTGCATAGATCCTCCTTGCGGTAATAGCTAGACACACGGCACGCGCTACAGACGACAAGCAAGCCCGAACCAAAGGGGTTACTTTGAGAAGATATAGCGTGCATGCGCTGTACAAAGTGGTCGCTCCATGAAGGAGGGGACATAGCCCCCTTTGGAGAAGGGGGAAGAGCACCTTCTAGGAAAATATAGCTTTCGGGATTGCTCTCTGTTCCGAATTTTAAACCCGACATCCCTCGAGGAAATGTACTTTCGGCCACAGATCGCCAATGTTTCTCTTCAGGGGTTCTTCTTCGGGCCTGCCTATCTACGGTGCAGCTATGCTTTCTACACCTGAGCAAAAGTATCACCCAGGAGGCAAGGTAGGAAGATGGAATTCATTGATTGCGAAATTGCAAGTGCCTTCTTAAATAATTTCATGAGCAGCAGCCAGGCTGTAAAAGCTCCCCGCCAAAACACTGCTAACAAGATGCAAAAAGCGGGTCTAAGAGGGAATTAAAAATGAAGCAAATAGTGCAGTTTGTAGTAAAATAGTAGCTGCTCCTAAGATGATATGCAGCCGACCCCAATCGACAGACGTCACAACAAGAGAAGAGCGCCACCGCATGCAGTGCAGAATTACACTACAAGATATTCCCCTAATTGGGTGTCTTCCTAACTTTCTTCTCGCCTTCTAAATTCGAACTTGCTGATGACTTGAGCAGCAGAGCTCCAAAATCTGTGACTCACGCTCATATGTATTTGCCGTGCGACACCCATTCGTCCCTCTCTTGGTACGGACGACCGCCAGATGGCACTCTTTGAAATGAAAGTTCTGAATGAGCCAGGGCCTTCGAAGCATTGGCATTTGGCGTCATAGCGTGGTCGCTTATACGCCTCGCATGCATACGCACACTCACGCATGCATGCGTCCACACACACATGGATAGTCACAAACGCATACACACACAGTGTTCTTTATACGGGGCTTATCAGGTGGTGGCCTCGAACGCCGGTGGGTAGGCGCTTTCTTCGTGTTTTGAAGTGGAATATCGGCCCCTTGCTGGCTAGCCGTAATTACACAGAGACGATGGACGGAAGCCACTAAATGACAGTGGCCGTGAGGGTGCCTCTCCCTTGGCCAACTGCCCACGCATCAGTTAGTCGTTAAGGGGTCTGCCATAGTAAAGCTCAAAAGAAGCTGATCTTCGGAAGCCATCAAGGGGGCGGCTTCAGCAAAACATCTGTGCGTACTTCAAGGCAGCAGCAGCAGCAGCATGTCTCAGCCACAGGGCTCCATTTCGACGAACTTCGTACAGGAATTTCGTTGCACTCTTGTGACGGGCTTCGTGACGGCGGCTGTTTTTAATCCATGGGACAAAGGTGCTCTTGTTGTGCTGTTGCTCCACCCTTGTCTTTAGTGCAGCATTTTGTTCCTCTCATACCCTAGCAGTGAGCTCCCCTTTCAGGGTGTGGGGGTGGACTCACTCGGCTGGACCTAACTCTCTTCTGTGCTCTCGTGCGCGTGCAATTGCAGCTCTATATCTAAGCGTGAAAGAGGGGAGACCTTTTCTTGCCCCCATCAACTGGCACCTGCCTTTCAGAGGCTTCCTGCGTGCTTTTGTCGCCAGGACTCTCAGCACGGGGTTGTACTTCCCTCTAGGTAAGTAGCGACTGCAGCCGAGACAAAGAAGCGAACGAGCGTTTTCAATCCTCTGGAATCTGTCTGCTGGGTAACAGCGAGCGCTGGTGAAGGTCGGGAGGGGGGAGGAGGGCCCCCATGTGGGAGGGCTGTGTTGTGTAGCGGCAAGAGGCCCCTGTAGAGGCTGCTGGATTTGCTCTGCATGTAGGCTTGCTTGCCTTTGGGGTGTATGCCTGTGTCGCAGAGGCTACGTTCTATTCGCGTCTTCTTCGCAGCAGTGTCTTTGGTGCAACGTCGAGGCAAGAAGGCCTTCGCGCGCCGCAGAGTCTCACGGAATCGGCTAGTCGGCATGAGGGGGGTTTAGGCGAAGAAACGAGACTGGAAGCAGAAAACGCAGCAGCGATCGCTTTGGAAAAAGGGATTTCGAGATACCCAGTCCACAGTGTAAGGTCGACGTGGCAAGGGCCCTCGGCCGGCGGCGGGGCCCCGGGGGGGGGCCCCCCCTGGAGGACCTTCGAAGAAAAGACTTATGAGCGCGTGGCCTTGTTTTGCGCTGGCAACTTGGCGGGGGTTTGCTGCGGCGTGCTGAGCCACCCTTTGACGGTTTTCAAATACGCCATGTGGAACGATAATTGCCGGGGGATCTGTGAAGTTTTCGCGCAGTTTTACGCACAAGGAGGTAAGTCGGAAGGCGTCAGGACAGAGACAGTCCGGGAGGGGAGGGCGAGGTTTGGATCAAGCGTTCTCACAGGGAGAGGCGGGAGGCAGATTTGGAGGCGCTTCACGTTGAGGACGTGTTCTGAATACGCGTTGAGTACGTGTTCTGTATGCGCCTGTGGCGTCTGGTTGCTACCAAACGTTGCCTCGGTGTCTTTTGCGCTAATTGGATGGGGCTGTCGATACACCGCATGGGGGGTCTGCACGCGTTTTGTGTCTCTGCAGGCGCAGCGACGCTTTACCGAGGATTCGTGGCGACTGTGGCTCGCGATAGTTTGTTTGGGGGCGTGTATGCATGTGCGCGTCACCACCTAATGATGCGACGGCCCGAAGCCGCATCAAGAGCCACAAAATTCGCTTCCTCGGAGGGCAATCTGCACAGGCGAGAGTGCCGGTTAGGGGGGGGAGAAGAGGGCAGCACCCTTTTTCACCGCCTCATGTTGAACACTGTAGCTGCCTGCGTCGCTGTAGCGGCCTCGTCTCCCCTCAACTACGTTAAAAACATGCAGCTGGCGGCTTCGCCAGAGTCTCCCCAACCCCGCATGCGCGTGCTGCTGGGGGAGCTGGTCCGTCAAGTTGCAGCGGCCCCGGGAGCGCAGGCTAGGCTGGCAGTTTTGAGTCGAAGCCTTCTTTTGGGGTGGGGCACGCTCCGCGCTGCCGTGGGCATGGCCTTTGGGGCTTTCGTATTCGATTTATGCCGAGAGGAAACCACGATACACACTTAAGGGGGGAGGGACGGGAGACCAACCATCGAAACAGGCGCTGCTTGGGGGCAGACAGACGTGTTTGCCGAATCGATTTTTAATAGCCACTTGTGCGCCCTTAGTGAGGGCACGCACGCGGCGTGCGTTCTGCGCCGAGGGTGGTCTCCGTGCGAAAGGGGCTCCTGTACGAAACCGACCGAATGTCGGGAAATGTGCCAATAACAAGTGCGAGAGGGTGCACCTGCGGCAGTAGTCAGTGTGCATGGCTTCTCCGCCGCATGGTGGGGGAATACACTCGCCCTTAGCATTCATAGAGAGGCAAAAAATGAATACAACAGCCTCTGGCTCTGCAGACGCAGACGTCGAAAAAAGCTGCTGCAGTGCCGTGCCTGCCGCTTCCCCGCTCCGCGCGAACGCGCTTGGGGCAGTGAGAGGAGGCTGGTCTGCCCTTTGCAGTGTCTTGGCCCTGCAGGCATGAGGCACGGCAACCCCCTTGCAGCAGCTTCTAGCCGAATGTAGAAAATACAGACAGAAACTTCAGGCTGTACACGCGTCACTGCCACGCTCTACGCCTGGTGAGGAAGCAGGGGCGTGTACACTCTTTTGAAAACTCGGGGCAGCACGTCTTCTCAAAAGCGTTTCCAGTGTCAGTTTTGCGCGCAGTCTGGCGGCGAACGGGAGTATAGCTACCCTTCAAAGGGCGAGATGCTTAGGGTCCCCAAGGGCCCCTAAGAAGGGGCTGGAAGCAGTCAGGGAGGGCCCGTCGGATGGAAATACAGGATTTCCTAGTATTCCGTGTGCATTCTCCACTCCGTTTCGGCGTAGCAAGCTAGGCGTATAGACTTCTAGCTGGCCCGGGAGCAGCGGCCATGGCGCTGGTATTGCCTTCTTGCTAAGGGCCTAACAGGGGGGCGTTGTAGCGAACACAGCTACACTCAAACTTTTTCCATTACATTGATAATATATCCCTAAGAATTGGTAAAGAATGAACTGCATGGCCACAATTGGTCAAGAACTTATACTTGGCTTGCTTGTTTGAATATCCTATTCGTTGCAGGGTACTGTCAGGTCGATATACAAGAACACGCCGTGTTTTGTACACGTGAGCCAGATAGCGCGTGCAACTGCCTTTAACTGCTCGTGAGTGCTTATAGGGTGCAGCTACGCACACCCTCTCGGTCAAAACATCCCCATTTTCTATAAAGGTTCTATTGGGTCTGCAGTAAAGTGCCGTCCTGCACACACAGGCGCTGCCGAAGGTTGCGTCTTAAGACTGCTGTCGCGAGTCCCTGGAAGAGGAGGCGGGGGTAAGAAAGTCGAATTCCATCACTCTGTGTGCAAGAGCAGTCAAGACACACATACAGGAGCGAAAAGTGACAAAACTCCCGCATGGGTGTTGTGCTATGCTGTGCGGCTGCATGCGTAGAAAGTTGTGCGCCTCAAGGCGTCATAAGATTTGCCAAAATAAAAATACCACGCTTGCAGAGGAACAAAAACGGCTGAGAATTATTTTGGAAAGAGGTCCCTCAAACAGCGGCGCTACATACAGAGTCGCACGCATGAACGGGCGCCGCTTGGGGTGTTCAGACACCTTGGACACAAGGGCCGTCTTCCCTACCGGAAACGCCGTCCACTAGAATCGATGAAGAACGCGCGACCTGCGGAAATCGAAATCGAGCAGAGGCTCAAAAGTAGTGGCAAAAACATCACAAACAAACACGAAACCCCGAGCGCCTCCTCGCCGCCTGCGCTTCATAGCTAGCAGTCGCGAAGCAGCGCACACATGGGAATCACTTGTCGCACCTAGTTCGTCTCGGACTATTGGAGGCTGCAGTCTGTCCGCCTGCCGCGCACGGCTCCTGCGGGCAGATGCACAGGGAAGCGTGTGGAGGGAGGAAGCCTTGAATATGCGGCTTCGAAGCGGAGAGCTCCCAGCTACACAACACGACTTCCCCCCCACCCCACCCCGCGGCTGGCCTTTTGAGGAGGGCGGGGCCCCGCCTCCCCCCGTAGAGCGCTGGGGTGTACGTGGGGCCGGGAGGAGGCAACGAAGAGAGGCAACTCACATGGCCAGCTTATAAAGCACAAAAAAGAGGACCGCAGGCACCACTAGCAGCGGCAGTGCCCGCAAAAACGCAAACGCGGGAGAAAAGTGGTAGGCAGTTTCACCTCCAGGGGCCCTCGACCCAGGGCCCCACTTCTCTGAACGCCCTTCGGCCCTCTGGCGCTGCAGCAAATCACACGTCTGCAGCGAGCGCCGAATCGAGGGCCTCTGGTTAATCTGTGGGGAGAGAGTAACACCTTCGACTCAGATGCATCGCGAAATCCTTACCACCTCCCGCTGCAGCGGCGGGAAGGCAGCCCAGCAGGGAACCCCCGCTACAGCTGGCTCAAAGTCTCGAAGCACAAGAGACAGTCAGCCCCCCAAAGTGTGCCTCCAGAAACGCAGATCCGCCTCAATCGCATGCAAAGGCTTGCAAAGCCACACGCTACAGAGCCTTCAGGAATGCCCTAGCGGCTCGTCACGGCCGCATGCAAGGCAAGGCCACGCAGGCGGCCGTGTGAAGCGCATGCCAACGACACGCATACACGCACATACGCATACATATACGTGTGCGTATGTGCATGCATATCAGAGAAGACATCGACGCACCTTCATGGCCCTCCACGCCATTTCCTTCTCTCTGCGGATCTGTTCGACTTGTCGCCAAAACTCTTCGCCTACTTCATCTTGTCCAACGTGCCATGCGTCGGCGGGGGGCCTCTGAGAGGCATCTCCTCGGCTCTCGGTGTCTTTCGCCGCTTCAGATGGCAGTCGAGCATCGTACTCCTTCTTCTTCAGCGGATCGGACAGCACCTCGTACGCCTGAGTGACCTCTCTGAAAAGCCTTTCCTTCTGCTGGCGCCTTGGGCAGTGCTGGTTGGCGTCTGGATGCAGCTCCTTGGCCTTGCGCAGGTACGCTGTGCGAATCGCGCGTGGACTGTCGGCGGGTGACACCCCCAAGAGTCGATAAAAATCCTTCTCATGCCCAGAGACGCCAGTGGCAAACTGCCGCCCACCCCCGTTCCATCGGTGCAGACCGACGCGGGAAGAGGCTCCCGGAGCTTGCCCTTCAAGTCCAAAGAGACGGACGCTGCTGCCTTTCGTGAGCATCCAAGAGCTCCTAAAAGCCCCCAGCGCAGTGCCCGTCCATCTACGCGTGCTGCTGCATCGAACGCCAAAGAACGAAATTCCCCTGCAGACTCGCGGGAGGGCTAAGTGGGCAAGAGCTGCCGTTGCGCGAGAACTTAGATACACAGATGTTCGAATTTTGAATGTCTGGGGCTGCATGCAATTGCAAAGCGCACATGCCCCGGAAGAGGCCAGGCCACTGCAATGCGCATTCACGCGTGTCGCCGGCGCTGCCAGCCTCATCGCGCACCCACAACGCCCACTTTGCAGCGACAGATCGCTTTGGAGGCAGCTTCTGCCGAGAGGCTTTGAGCGCCTCCTGAATCTCCCAGCGTCACCACCTCTCCAGGGAGGCGTGCGCGGTGCCTTATGGGGGCTGCAGAGCCTAGCCTGGACCACACGAGGCAGGCGGCTTCATTGGAGCGGCAGACGCTCCATGCGCGTTCCGCCGATTTTGCCAAAGCCACAGTGTGGTGCCTGCCGAGCGACGCTCTGGCGCGGTGTACATACACCTGGAGCTGAGAGGGCCGCTTCCCTCGGAGTCACGGGCGACTACGTTTTAAGCTACTGGGCTTTCCACGGCTAAAGAAGCGGAAAAAGTGGCACTGAGGCTTTCAAGACATGCGACAAACCGCAATTACATGGAAGAAAGTGAGGAAGGAAGGAGCCGAGGAGGCGGTGGACGGGAGGAAACCCCTGCAGGGCGCCCAAGCGGAAATAATCTGCTCTTGCGAAGAAGGCACCGAAAACAGTCCTATGAGAACAAGCAGAAAAAGAAGAGACACATGAGCCCTGCAAAGCATTCGGCGAATAAGAATGTCATGATCATCCCGATACGATCCGTTGCTCTGCGTCAGTACCGCGTCGTGTGCATGCAGCCGACACTCAAACAAGGCATTATAGGGGGGTGGCGCTAGCAGAGATGAGAGCCTCCCCTCCCTTGTGGCTGCTCTGAGCAGCACATATCTTTGAGTTATCTATTATACTCATGAGCAGAACCTAGTTTTCCCTGGTTCACCGGCATATGGGAATTTCTGCACAGATGCCCTGTCCAGGTTACACCCGGCCCCCGCCCTTTAGCACCAGTCTCCCCAGATATTTCACCTTCCAGCTCCCTTCCTTTGACTCCTTCCGTGCCAAACTACCGACCCTTTTCGCCGGTCTTACAGGATCTGCGACTTCGGTGGCTTCAAGCAGTTTCCCGCGTCCGTTGAGCGTCGCTGTTTGCACAGGAAGCCTGTACAGTAGTAGGCTCCTGGGGTGTTGCAGAGTGTTTTAGCCGGCGCAGCCTACGCCGCCGTTCCCCTGCAGACCACTGCCTAGCACGCAGCCCACACTAGCTCCCTGAGGGCATGTTAAGGCACAACGTGCTCCTGTTGACTGCATGCAACAGCACTCCGTAAACACCTGAGACGGATCGGCATGGGAGCAGGGCTGGAGGCGGGGGGACAAGGAACAGAGGCTGCCTCCAGCCTCGTTGGCTCATGGGTGTCGAAAACAAGCCTACACGGGAGCCCTCGTTCCAAGGGAAGCCTAGACCTGCCTGAGTGTCTTAAAAGTGTCTCTCCACGGGAAAGGCCTTCCAGAGCCTTTTGTTGATGGCAGGAATTTCTCCGGGAGCAGCAGCTGCTGCAGCTGCAGCAGCTGCATCTGCGCCGCTGTTGGTATCCTGCGACTGCTCCCCAGTGGTGGATTATCCTGCGAAGGCATTCGAGGAGCTGCTGCACGGCTTCCCAGATAATCCGGTTGGTGGTTCGGGTGTTTCAGAGACCTGCTACTGCACAGGAAGCGTTTCGCCATGCTTAGGGCGGCCTGTAGGGTCTGCCGCTGAGCCGCTGCTGCTGTTGCTGCCTCTCTGCGCGGCATGCGCCTCAGCTTCTGCATGCAGCAAGGCGGAGTGTACAGCCTCGAGTCATGTGAGCGCTGGTTCTGCGTTGCAGCTCTCGAGCAGCGAAGGAAGAAGCGTCGCTACGGCAGGGGCGGAGAAGGGCCCCTCAGGGGGCAGCCTTCACTGCTCTTGTCAGGCCTGCGCGTCGTCTTTGCTGTTGCTGCTGCTGCTGCGCCTTGGCGTGCGCAGCCTTTGCGCTGCACCGGCTGCTAACGCAGTTTTGTTCTGTGGAACTTGCGATGAGCCGCATAGGCAGCGCCGCTTTTTTCACAGGCTCCTCTGCGCAGAGAGCGAGTGGCCTTGGTTCGACATGAGGGGAAGGGAGGAGAGGGAGGCCCTAAGAGGGGGCCCCTGCAAGCGCCCTTCGGGGGCACCCCTACGGCTCGCTTCGAGGAGAGAGGAATATTCAGCGCTCAGCAGAATCGGCTACAAGCTCCTGCCGCACGAAGGCGACTCTCTGGAGAGGCCTCCGGGAGCTGGGAATGTGAGAAGTCCGCTAGATGCCAGCGGCCTAGCGGTGCAAATTTCCGACTCGCTTCGCTCCCCGGAAATTTGCACGCAAGCACCGCCTCTGCTGCGCTTTCTGACGGAGCTGCCTGAGGCGCTCAACACGCCACCAGGCCTTCTGATGCTGTTGCAACCCTCGCGCTGGCTGCGTCCAATAGAGCGCCTGGGGCCCTGCAAACTCTTAGCTCTGCAGCAGCTCACGGACAAGAAGCGTTTCGGCCTGTTTCTCTCGCTCGTGGTAAGGGCAGCCGCCGCTGCCGCTCCTCGCAGTACGAGCGCCGCTGCCTCAAGCGAAGGGGGGGAGGGGCCCTCCAGCAGCAGCAGCGGCAGGGGGCCCCCCCCAGGTGAAGGGCGGAGCCACCGTTCCGTGCCCGGCCGTGCCGTTGTTGCCGAGGCCTTTCTTTGTTGCAGCCGCTGCTGCTGGCGCTGTGGCGGGCTTCAGCGTGTAACGGCTCGCGGCACTGTAGCGCTGTGCTGCTGCCTGGAGCAGTCTGAGTGGCTGTCCATGCTTCGCAGCCGGTTTGCATACATCCTCCTGCTTTTCTACGGGGTCTTGGGGCCTTTTGAGGGGCTGGATGGCGACGTGCGAGCCGGCTCTTCTGCTGACCCCTCCGTTCCCAGCGGCTCTGCTGCGCTTATGGTTGCCGATATATCGCATGCCGGTACGGAGACTGGCTAGAGACAGAGACGCGCGAAGAAGGCTCGTTGCGTCCTCTCTCTTTGCACCCGCCACGCCGTGCGGTACAGCCCAGCGGGGCCTGCTACACTGAATCAGCGCAGGCTCCTCGCCTGCGGCTGTACTAAAGGCGACCCCGCAGTGCATGCACACGCAGGTACCACCCAAGTGGCAACGCGCGCTCTACTGCGTTCCGGCTACTCGCTACCTAGACACTCCCTACCAGCTCGACGGCAGCTAGCTAGTCCGCCGGCACGCAGTAAGTAAGCGCTTCGATGCCCGTTGCTTCAAAGAGGGGCCTCAAGAAAATTTGCAAAAGATGGCGTTTTCGTTAGAAAAGGCAGAAGGTCGCAGGCTGCCCCAACTGTGCAGTTAAAAGGATGCTCAGTAGGGACTTGCTCCTGCGGTCTGCCGGCTGGCCACTTTACTGGCGGCGGGGTCACCGTCCATCGTTGTGCCACGCTGCGCAGAGCAGCATGACGCAGAAGCAGAAAGAAGGAGGCTGCCAAATGCGCAATATTTGCAGTGGCACGCAGCCGTGAATACTGCAGCGCTTCATGATATCTATATAAAAAATATACATATTGCACGGTTGCAGTTTTCCGCAAACTAAGCACCACCAACGCGGCCTCATGATCGCTGCCCTCTTACCTGGCGCCACGCGCACACACGTCCATCTTCACCGCAAGTGAGGAGCCCTAGGCCGCTTCCTGCAGCCCCCATCACATTGATTGCGCCCCTGAGGCACACAGCAAGGTCGCAGTGTTGGCATGATCGCATCATTGTTATTGACACTGAGCAAGTGCAGGGAAGCCTGCCTTATGTATAGGTTGAAAAAGAGGACCCCCCTGATGCCAACGCTTTCCGTTTCCACGCTGTCATAGGCATACAAACGAACTTCCGGCAGTCGGAGAATGAGCAAATGCTGCAAATTGGGAATGCCAATATGCTTGCAGAATATGCTTGCAGACCCACAATGAGGGCAAACGACAAGGACCATGAAGCAATGCACTTATTTGTATTGTTCATAAAATGCAGAATATCTCCTACAGAGGAGGAGGCCTTACCGAACTACGCCTGTGTGACCGCCAGCCTGCAGGGCCCCGCTGCCCGCAGGGGCGCTCTGGCGGCCCTGTGAGAGGCCCTTCTGCTTGAACGTCGCTGCCTGCTCGATGCCGTCCAGGTTTGCATGCAGCAGAACCAACTGTCCAGACACCGAGCCTGGGAAGCCAAGCCCCACAACGGCATTCACGGCGGCCCCTGATTCTAGAGCGAGTAAGCGAAAACTGCCGGAATCGCGAGACAGGCCAGCCCAAGCACCCCATAGGAAGGTCTCACACCCTGTCCTTCCAAGAGGGCACCCAGAATCGGCGCATGTTCCTCCTGTGCCCCTGATTCGTTGGCAGTTTCAGCTTACCTGCAAGGATGAAGAGGCGCCCCAATATTTGGTCATAGAACACGTCCACTACGTATCCGCTGCTGTCGCCTTCCCGAATTTGCGGGTGGCTGCGAACAGAGAGCCACTCCGCTCTGCGCTGTACAGACACTCCATCAACGGCGCCACTGCTGCAGTACGTGTCGAGGCCGTTTACCTGCCACAGGCCCACGTCTTCCATAGCGCTGCGGATGCAGATGCACGAGGCAGCAGGGCCTAAAATACTCAAACCCTTGACCGCCCTTTCCTGGGAGAAACACGCCACCAAGGCGGTGTCCTCACTGCTGCTGAGGGAGGAGGCTGCATCCGACACGCAAACCAGCGAATCCTCCCCACCTGATACAAGCAGATTGGGGTACAAAGGATGGAATTGCAGGGCCATGACATAGTCCCCGTGCACCTGAAGGTCCCACAACAGGCGCCTTCCCCCCTTCTTGCTGCGAGGACGCCCTCGTGCAGACGCATCCGTAGCCCCTCTCGCGGCGTCTGTACAGACAGCGCGGAGGTCGTATCCCTTGACAAAGCTCTTGAAGGAGGCAGCAATCACCTGATCATCCCCTCGAACTGCCAGAGCCCACATGTCCGCTTCTCTGCTGCCAGCAGGTGCAATCTGCACGGTGGCCGTCGCCGTGAACGGATCTGCCTTGCCACCAAGCTTCTCCCGAAAATCCCACAGCTTGACCGCTCCATCTTGAGCACACGTAACCAGCACGTAGCTGTTGTGGTGTAGGAAAGAGCAGCTCGTGACAGGCGCAGTGTGCGCCCCCGCTACGGTGCATGTACACTGGAGCGTATTCGCATCGATAAGCGCCAAAGTGCTCGCCGCATCGATGCAGCAGACGTCCGTAGAAAGGCCACTCCCAACAATGTGCTGCAAACACGGTGGCTGGACGTTAGCACTGGCGCACCGGCCCCGAGTCGGCAGATGCTCGCTAAGGTCAAGAATGCCAACCTGTTCTATCACGGGGAGAAGCTTCATGTCACCACGACCCCGTCGTACAGGTCCACAGCCCTCCACTTCGGGGACGCAGAAAGACGAGAACGCGCTCATTTGCACAACAGGTGCAGGAGAGAGGCAGTAGAAAGAACGGCCGAAGGGGATGCGCGGCGAGGTAAGGCACCCTGCTGGGTTTTTTGAAAATACAGGGGTGGTGGTGACACACGGTTGCTGTGGCAGGCTGGTGTATCTCGATTGCTGGGAATGCGTTGCTGAACGTGGGATCGACGTAAACCTACATCCTAGGGGGTAGGGAGGAGGAGGCAAGCAGAGGGAGGCGGGGGGGCGCGTTGTGACAGGGATGGCCAACCAAGTGTCTTTGAAGAAACACTATGCTCCTTCCCTTTCTAGAAGAAAGAAGCGTGATGATACGAAGGGACAGCCGACTTGGAAGCGGGTGCAAAAGTGCAAAGCCTGGGAACTGCGGCTTTGCAAGCTACAAGTCTTGCTTCAAAACAATGGCGATTGAAGTAACAAACGGGCTGCAATGGGATAGACGAGTAGGCGGCTGGTATACAGAAATGAAAATTATGGAAGCCACTGTTTTGAAAGCGATAAACTCCGCTGCAATGCAGCGACGATTCAAAGGTAGAGCACTGGAACCTAGGCCAAATCCAGGGCTCTTCACTCCACTAGCCCCTGCTTTCGAGCACTAGAGCTGCAAAATCTTGTGGCTGGCAGCCTTGCAAAACCACAGGCGCCTGTTACAGAGAAATGAAAGCATGAAGAAATCCAGCGCAGTGGACGACGACACGCACTAATTCGCCCTTAGCTCTACGTGCCTTCTTCCGGTCGTTCTTAAGCACATACTTAGCTTTGTTCCTTCAAGTACCAGAAACTTAGAAACAACATAGGAAGGCTTGTATATTGTCTGCTGCTGCCCGGGGGGGAGAGCGGCCCGATTGTGCCTGCCTTCGCGCGCACCTTGACTGCAACTGGCCAGCGAATAATCGGCACGAACGAAACGCAGCTACCGCATTTTTGCCTCGTATTATTGTGCGTGAAATCTACGCAGAAGATTCCAGGCGTGCGAGAACTGAGCGAGGCCAAAGGAAATCGCGCCCCTCGGTCGCATGCCCTTACCCACCTACCCCGACCAGCTGGACACGCAAGCCCATGCACGACATCCACAGGCTCTGTAGCCCTCCTTAAATCACTTGCCTGGGGAAGGGAGCGAGTGTGAGAGTGGATGTTTCAATGCATTCATCTGTTGAGTATCACTACGAAGCCGCAATTGTGGGGACCTCCCAACAGCCAGTTGATAGCTGTAGTCTGCCGCCTGGAAGAGTTCCCGCCAAAGGTCTTAATGGCCTGGCAGGAAGCTCTAAAACTGCATGTAGAGGTATTTCAGCTTCCTATTTTAGTTAGGGAGGCTGGGCGTGAGGAGACCTAAAAACTCGCCCTCCTCTCCCTTGGTAGTTGTGTTCACCATGACGTTGCTGAATATGGCAGTGAAGCACTTTGAAGCCTTGCACCTCAAATGTGAGAGTACCTCAGGCTGACCTTGTGGCTACAAGCATGCCTGTAATGTTGCCAAAAAAATCGAGTAAAGTTCAAAGAGTCCTGCTTGCTCCCCTAAGGAGAACCTTTTAAGCTCAAGCCCATTACATGACTGAGTAGAGTGCCCTCTGTGGCCTCCTAACAAAGCCGCTTTCTTCCTCTTTCTGCCCTCACGCCTCGAAGTTCCTGCATTGATGGAAAGGGTGGGGTGTTGAGAGGATGCGCTTTTCTGCGCCCTTTAAGCACTTCAAACTTCCGCAGTAAACTGCAAATAGCTAGCTCTGACGTACAGGCAAACAGACAGCATGGGTTCTCTGCGTACTGAATCAACTCTACAAAGCAACAAAAAAGATTTTCCAGCACATCTGCCACAGTGCAACATAGTCCTGTACCCTCCATCTCAGGCGCCTGCTGTCAAAGCCCGCTATGATGGGGAAAGGTGCTTCCCCATTTCAGAAAGGCTCTTTGCAACGGAAAAATGCAATGGGCTTCTGCCGGAAATGGGGATTCAGACTGTGCGGGGGCACTGTCTCGATGCCGCATAGCTCCGAACACACAAAATAGAGGTCCACGAAACGGATGCAGGTGCCATGCAAAATCATTTACCCTCCGGCTTTCCGAAGTAAAACTCCGGAATGCCCATGGAAGCTGCATGTGTTAAACGCTGACGCGAAAACGTGGCCAAATTGGGGCAGGCTCGAAAGCCATTACACTACAGTGCACCGTCACATGACCAAAACCAGAAGACAGTAGCACCTCTCTTACGCGCGCAGATGCCTGGCCTCTCGCTGCTTCCAAAATTTTTCAGACACAGTCTCTCTACCGGCAGGAAGCACTGTAAAAATATGAGTGGATACCATGAATGGCAGGGTTTTACTCACCAGACACGGACCCATCTGCAATATTCTGGATGAGTGCGTGTACGATTGTTCAAACAGATGGAGTTGTGCTCGACGTATGCTCCCAGGTGGCCGCGTCGCTCAGGAATCCGGATGCGCAGCAGTACCTCCCCAGTATCGACGGCAAAGGTCTCTGACCGTTTGCCGCTGTGCCCTCTCTGCAGCGCTTTCTCGCCGCACTTGGAAGCCTGGTGGGTCGTCATGATGACCTTCTAAGCAGTTTAACGCTCCTTGGCTAAGCAAAATACAGCACTTTACATAGAACCTGCTCTTCCAAGTACAAGGCCTCCAAAAAAGTGCTGGATCACATAAGCCCCTTGAAAATTCAGGCACAGCGGCGAGCGTTACGCTGATGAATTAAATAACTTATTTGAGCTAGATAGTGCCTATTCTTGCAACAATTAGCGTCAATTTCGATGGATCCTGGACAGGCAGCGACGACGCCTTAAGGGCATCCTCAGACAAACACTACTGCACGCTATCGATTGTAACGGCTTATTTCGTAGACCCATACCAGTTTACACCCCATGGACAAGGTTTTCAGCTTCTCATGGATCTAACGGCATAACCGGGTGGGGTTCGTGGTAAGCAATTCCTAAGCCAGAGCAGAGGTCTTGAATTACGAGGAAAATATGTGTTCTTTGACGAAGGGTTTCCTTGACGCTGCCCCAATTCTCCACAGCAGCAATCCGAATTGTCACCTGAAAAGAGTGGACTCAGAAATATTTCTGCCAGCTGAGACACGTGTATTGATGTGTTAAAAGTTTCTGGCGTGCCCGTGGCATTGCTGCATGGAGCTAAGTAGGCGTTTGGAGACTATGGTACGAAGCCATATACGCGTGAGTTGAATGGCCCGGCCTAAAAAAAACGCGAAACTCCTTTCCAGCAGCGTGCACCCCAGTGCCAAGCCGAAACGCATGCGCTCAGTGCCGAGTTACATTCACTGTTTGTGGCAAGTGCAGTTGCCCAGTGGACGCACTCAATAAAAAGCAAATGCACAAATAATTTCCTCTCTTCATGTCCAATTTTGTTAGGTTTTGAGTGTTTTTACCTCCAGCCATTTGCCCGTTCTAAAAATTGCCAACAAAGATGAAAAGCGAGTCTTTTACATAGTCCATGGGACCCTTGTCCATCAAGTGTCTGATGCCTTTTTCCAGCTTGTGAATGTGATGCGCTTAAGTCTCAATTTGAAGGCGAATTATAAACTTGTGGTAGGCATTAAGTGCGCGCGATTCATTTGTGATAACACACTTCCACAGGACGTCATTGTTGTGCATAACCTTCACGTACAGTAGCACGACATATCAGCAGAGAGCGGCGCATGCCTTCCTACAGAATCGGGTAGATGACGCATTACCCATAGCTTTAGTGGAGGGGGAAAAGCTGTTGCACAATGCTGAGGCACGATAAACGCAATCACACGGGTTACAAGCGAGACACGAAAACGGGGTGGAAAGGTTTTGGAGCCACAGTGACATCGTTCAGGTGAAGCACAATGAGTGCCTTCAATGCAGGAACATTACTCTGTGCCGTGGATAAATGCTTGCATTAGATCAATGCGCAAACTTCGTGCATCATGCATTGAACCAGGGTACCTGCTTGCCTAAACATCCTCAAATTCAGTGATGTAAGTGGTGATGCGTTTCACACACAAAGGGGGGCCACCGTTGATACGTGTGCGGTCTCCCGTGTTGTAAGCTGCATGATGGCGATGAAAACGACAGCTCCAAGGAATGCCTTGTAGATACTGCCTGCAGCACATTTGCTGATACGGACTGGCATTGACTGTGAAAGGCAGTCGATGGCCGTTCCTCCGAAACATGGCCGTAGCGTGACACGAGAAAAGTCAGATGCAGGAAAATAAAGGTAGAGATTAAAAGGAGGCCTCAGAGAGAAAAGGAAGCGAAACAAGGAGTAGTGGCGAATGATTTGTAGCATTTCGCCTGAAGAGGTAGTGCAGAGGGCGGAGCCTGAGCGTGCACTCTACTTCCTCGGCAGCTTGCGGGGAGTAGAGTATCCGTATGCCTGTTTGCGTTTACATGTGCAGATATGCGTACTGAGGGCAACAGTGAATGCGGCGAGTGTAGCAACTTCTGAAATGAGGACTGTGTTAAAGTTTAGGCGAAGGACGAGAAGACCAGCGACAAAAGAAGCTACCCTTCTCGTCCTTGGGGGTGTGTTAATTCCTGACAGTGCGGCAAATGCTGAGGTGATTCTGAAATCGCAATGAAGAGTGAGGCAGTAAATAGAGCAGCGCATTGCCGAATCATGAGCGGCCATATAAAATTACGCACTTTTTTTTTCACCTTTTGCATCCTCTGCTTTTCTGGGTTCTGCCTCTCAGAAAGACGTGGAGATGCACTCTGCAGCAAGCGAAGTGGCCACTACGGCGGTCTGCGCATAAGACCTTCTGCGTGCACGCTTGTTTTGGCGACACACTTTCATTGCTTTGATGAACGACTTGCGCTGAATATACATGGAAACAAACACGCGTTTGAACATTAACTTGTTGATTATGCCGTATTCTGATGAACAACACACAGAATGGCTTCGGAGCTTGTGGAATCGAAAAAGTCACAGACATAAAGGCCAGTTGACCCGCATATCTGGAGCATGCGTGGATACAGGCTATACACGCTTTACTCCGTTGAACGA